AACTCATGGCCCGGACATATCCAACATATCTTCCTCCTCCTATTTTCCCCAGAGCAATTACCCTGTGAGGTGAGTTGGGCTGAAAGAGGGTGACTGACTCAACTATAGGTGGCTGTTTGTTTAGCTGGGCAGTTGGGATGATCTTCAGGTCTTGGATGATTCTAGTAGGATTGTTTATATTCTTCCCAGCATTCTTTACTTATCCCACCAATGCATTGAGGAAGCACAGCTAGACTTGGAGGATGTGCAAAAGTATAGTAAATTTTAAAATTTGCAAAATATTGCTAATTATTTTATGTTTTTCTTGTGTTATCACAATTATTTGTAGGATTCTAGGTTATATTTCTAGTCATTCCAGGGTAAGAAAAAATAGTAGGATTTACATTGGTACATACAACTTTGAGTAAAGATATGGGCTGTAGTATTTGTGTCCTATTAGAATCATAACTAGTATGCTGCATACTGTGTTGTCAAAGGTTGCTTTCACAAAGATTTTATGTTTCTGAGAAGCCATCAGCAATATGATATAATTGATTTCAGAGGTGGGGGTATATAACAACTAAATAAGCAGAGACTTTGCTCTCTATTAATATTGGTTTTCCCTGTGGTTTTCTTTTTGGTATTCTTCTTGGTGTGTATAGACAACTGAATGTTAAGACTGGTAAATTGCAAAGACAGGTGTGGTAGAGACAAATGTTAGTGGGGCCTCTCAAGACAAACAGCTGATACTGGGCTGATAAGTGTTTTATGGCATTCCACTTACACCAAAGGATGGTGTGATGTAATAGCAGTCAAGTTAGCTTTCATTTTGTGTGGGAGGAAGGTTCTTAAAATAATGATCAATGAAATATGTCCTGAATTGGGATGAATGTGGATGTTTTCTTTGATTTACAGAGGATAGAAAGCATAATGTTTTAACTTGCTATGTTGTAAGCTGCTGAACATGTTCGTGCCCTTTGTCCTGAGGTAAAGCCAGGTATGGAATATTTAATAGATATTGGAAATGAGGGTGAATTAATGGTAAATCCAGGCCATTTTAAGTCTCAGTTTACATTTTGCAACTTATATGGTTCTTGAACAGTCATGTATGTTAATGGTTTATTATGAAAATTAAACTCTTAATATACTAGAATCAAATAGGTCTTTGTACAGTCTAACAATGTATTGACACACATAATTCATATGTCTTTTTCTACTGGTTAATTATAATGGCTTGGAAATACAGATGTTTGTACACACACTAGAATATTAGTAGGTTTTATATTTTATATAAATTTGTATTTAAGGCTGCATTGAAACAAGTATTAGTGAAATGTGTATGGCCACCCAAAACAATATCAGATGCTATATATTGCAAAAACAGGTAAAAACATCAAATATCAAAAGATAAGCAACACAAAAGATTTAGCATAGGATAAAAGATCCCATAGGACAAGAATATTCTCGAGGATCCCATGGTTGGTTAATTTAAGACCTTTCATGGGCATTTTTACAAGTTAGGGTGGAACTCGTAAACTCTCAGGGGGAATACTGTTCCAGAGGGCAGGAACAGACAAAGAAGGCATATTTCCTGAGTCAAATGACATTGTTTTATTTAATGTACTTGGAGCATACCAGTGATCAGATCAAAACAGGATGGGCAGACCCTAAGGAACATAGACAGACTCTGAGATAGTTAGGCCCTATGTCAGGAAACCTTTAATTGTATCTAGACAACCTGTGACCAAGTGGGTCATCATTTCAGGGATTTTTTTTTACAAGATTCCTCAATGCCTTCAACAATGAATGTACTGCAACAATGAATGTACTGCAACTTCTAATGTACTGCCTTCACTGGAAAAGTACATTTAGAGATGTAGCTGTTTTGAAAATAACAGTACAGATAATCCTCAATTTACAACAGTTCATTTAATGACTGTTGAAAGTTACAACGGCACTGAAAAAAGTAACATTACCAGATACCATGGTCAGTGGTATTGGAAGCCACTGAGAAATTCAGGAGGTCCAGGATGGTTGCCCATCTTGTGCCCTCCAGAGGTCATCTGTTCCTGTGACCAATGCCATCTCAGTACTGTACCTTGGCTTGATCCTAGACTCAAAAGAGTTAGTCTGCTTCATCCAGGGCTGTCTGTAGCTAAATGCCAAGCACCCTCCCAACAATGTCCCCTAAAAATATAGACACTGAAAATATAGAAACTGATAGTGCAGTTACAGGTAGTGCTCAATTTACAACTGGTTGTTTAGTGACCATTTGAAATTATGACAGACTTCCCCAAATGATACTTCTGACCCAGATTTGAAGTTCTGGCATCCTCCCTCTAAGATCATGGAATTGCGTTTTGTGTGCTTGGCAATTATATCTCATTTACAGCCATTTGCCGTGTCCTGCGGTCATGTGACCATGATTTATTATGGGTTTTTTTCCAGAAACCAGTGTTTACTTCTGGTTTCTGGCTAAAAAATGCCATTGTAAACAATGGGTTCACATAATGCCTGTGGCATTTGTTTAATGACCAGGCTATTCACTTTATGTCCGCTATGTTTGTTTAACCGCTGCAAAAAAAAAAAGTCATACAATCAGATTGGGCACATGATGATCCTCTTAATTGGCATGACTTGTGGCCGTAATTCTAGGCACTATTATGGTCATAAATGGAAATTACCTGCACTGAATATTCATGATGTACAGAATAAAATAATGGGTAAAAACTACAGTTCTGCCATTTGTAGTGTGAGTTGTCCAGATGCATTTGTGTCTAGCCATAAGCCAGGCTTGCTGTGTTGTCCGAATGCAATCTTGTATCAAGTTGAAAGCCAAGCAAATTTGACAGCTGGTGTTGGACATTTGTCCTTTCCTAAAGGTATAAATTAGTAGCTCATGAAGAGTTCGCACCAAAATCATGGTTTAATTTTATACACACTGAAAAATATTGCTTGTCAATATATGTTAAATGTCAACTAGGGGAGGGGGGGAATCTTTTCTATTCAGCAATCTCAATTCTAAACTGTGAATTAATTTCACTGTTATATCCTATCAGTTTCAGAAATGCTTGAACGTATAATTTGTTCTTTGATTCCTAGCAGCTGGAAAAGTTCCATGTCTCCTGTTTCCAGTTGCTAAAAAGAATGCTTTGCTCACTGCTTCCCCTCCCACACCAACTGTCTTGCCTTTCCTGTTGGCTTCTGTTCTTCTCAGTAGTGTGCATAGCATGCTGTGTTGCAGGAGGACTTTTGGATTTGGGAGAGTGGTTGGATTGGCTTTCTGTAAGAAGCAGCATGATTGTGGAGATAGTGCTTCAGTCAAGTAGTTTTGACAGAGAGTGTGATGAGCAACTTTGCTCCTTTTCTGAGGAGGCGTCTACTTCCAATTTTCTTGATCTGAAAGGTATGCTTGAGAAACAATATTTTTCATGGCTCTTATTCTACCACTATGTAAAAATGTGGTTCTTGAAAGGATTAAAAGTGTATTAAAGTTTGATTTACAGGGATTTTACTGGTTCAGAACGGAGGATGGGCAGTTTGCCATCTTTTTATTAGTAATTGGTGAGCATTGTTAAAAGTAATATATTAGAAGAAACATTTGTTTCAGTTGTAATTATTAAGACCTTTTAACATTCTTTTTTCCATTATATTTGTAAGAGATTTGTAAGAGAGTTTCTTAAAGAGATTAAAGAAAGAAATTAATCATTGAGATGTTTGAGATTATTGTAATCTTTTGGCTTCTTACTATAGACAATTTCTGTAATGTAATTTTTGATTGGAGGTTAAACTAAAACTATATTGGTCAGTCTGTGGTAAATCTTGGATGAGAGAATACAATCATTCTGATTCTGCTTGCTGTCTCAGTTACATTCTGGATCATCTCCAAGAATTCAGAATTTTTTACATTTGATTTCAGTTGGTAGACCTCAGCCCTCCATTAAGCAGCTATCTGATCTCCCCATAAAGCCACTAGAAGAGATCATCCACTGGCATGTGATAAGATATAATCAGTACAGGTAGTCCTCGACTTAACAACCATTCAAAGTTATGACACACTTGTAAAATAGGATTTATGACCCAGATTTGAAGTTCCAACAGTTGGGGGCTCTCCACAATTACATGACCAAATTTCAGGTGCTCGGCAACATGACTTCATTTACAACTGTTTGCAGCATACCACAGGTCATATGACCATGTTTTTTGATAGTTTTGCTGAAAACCAGCACTTCCGATTTATGGCAAAACTGTGCCCATACAAGTCTCCTGTGTGAGCAGGAGGTTGGACTGGATAACCTCCAAGGTACCTTCCAACTCTGTTACTGTTAATGTCAGTTGGAAAAAAGGTCATAAAATCAGGTTGTAATGTGACCATTTTACAACTATCACAACATATGAAGTTATGAACATAATGGGCTAACTCCATTACAGACTGAATGAGGCAATTAGTAAGCATGGTCTACCTGTACATACTATTTGTTAAATAGTATATTGATTCTTGATCTAGTATAAATATCTCTGTACTCTGTGTATGTCTCTTAAGAGTGCACAGATACATAATTTAAAGTGGATTGTGATCAGATGTTAATGACATTTTTTCAGTCATTCAGTTTGCTCTTAATGTTTGTTTCATTAATAGTTGATGGACCTTCACTAGCTTGGCAAGCAAGTGGATGCTAGATGCTGCTGATTATGTGCAGATCAGGAGAATAACTCCACAATCTTTTTTTCCATTCCATTGTTCCATGTGCTTAATAATATTCCTGTTGACTAATCACTGCATGTATGAGATGAAAAGTTCTAATTCTTTTAAGCAGAAGACTTTAAATTTTATATGATATTATTTCTGCTAGTCTTTTGATTATGATATTGTATCTAAACTTGATTTTTATGTGCCATTCAGGACTACATTCACTATATTATCATATTTCAAAGAAAATAAAATAATCCTTTTTTCTCTTCTCTTCTCTTCTCTTCTCTTCTCTTCTCTTCTCTTCTCTTCTCTTCTCTTCTCTTCTCAGAGGCTCTCCACCGCCCTTTTGGTTGTGACACTGAACCACAGGCACTGAATGAAGCCATCAGGTGGAGTTCCAAGGAGAATCTTCTAGGAGCCACTGAGAGTGACCCCAATCTTTTTGTTGCACTTTATGATTTTGTAGCAAGTGGTGACAACACGCTCAGCATCACCAAAGGTAAAACATAATTGCCTCCTGTTTATGTCTATGAGTGTATGTATGAATGTAATAAGAAACAGATCTAACTTAATAGTAAGGTCTGTTTAATAGTAACAGTAGTAATAAAATGTACTTATTGAAAATGCCACAGCAGTAATTATTACAGGAAAAGATGAAGGGCACAGAAATTTTAGGATTATAAAATGTGGGAAAATCATTGAGCATACAATGAACTAAATATATCTTACAACTTTCAATCAAGAAGGGAGAGGATTGCACTTTCTTAAATTCTTTAAATGTAGGAAAATATATTCTTTTATATTTTTATCTTTTTCTTGGCAAATGAAATCAGCCCAAAATTTATTTACATTTGATTTAAAAATTAAAATTTTAAAGCTCAATATTTTATTTCATTAAACTGTGAAAATATTTTTTTATCTAAAATAGTATTATATAATGTGATTTGTCAAAAATAGGCAACTATTATTAAAATGTCAAAATGACTAATCATATGTAAAACCTTGAATTTGATTGTCCTGGTCAAAAAAGAATTATGTGCCAGGGTTATAGAACACTTTGAATTTCAAAGTGGACTCCCTGAATTTGACATATGTATGTGATAGAGTAGTCCTGTTTGCCCTCAGTTGACTTCAGATTCATTGCATAGCCAATAAACATGTCTTATACTTTATTAATTTTTTGTTCAAATCCACAAGACACTTACAGAAATAACATTAGATACACTTATTGTTCCATATTTGCATTGTCAGTGCATCTACCAGTTGGTAAATACATGTTATTAGAAATTGAATTATTTTCTCTGTGACAGTGTACTATTTAATTTGGTACTAGAGCACACTGTGGATTTTTCTGTAGTAACTTTTGATTCAAGAAATGAGGCATAACAGCAGTTCTCCATCTAAACTGCATTGGATAACAGACCTGCTATGATTTTGTGGTATCTCTTGCCCATTCTGTCCAGGTAAATATTCTTAGTCTTGATGCCCTTTTCACTATGATCAATCACAGTTACCTTGCTTACCCTCTCCTTAAAAAAAATTTTTTTTTTACTTTGCAGAATGGTTATCTAGTCTCTAACTCCTGATATGTAAACACTATATCAAGATAGTATTTAAGCCCCAGGTTATCTTTACATACTTCTCAGAGGAAGATTTTTTTAAAAATGTTGGAGCTTTTTCCTAAAATCTTTGATGCTGTAAAATTATTAAATATTGGAATACCAATTGGGTGACATAAGAGATGGGTATTTCAAGATGATCATACTCATTGTCTGGTGATAATTTTGGGATTAGGCAAGTCTCCTTTGACAACCATTTTGTAAATGGACATATTATCTTATTTCTCTTGTATCTAAAGATCTGCAAGCATTCACTTTGGTATCCTGCATTGTCAATATCTTGGCACCCAACAATCTGTCTTCATTTCATTCAGTTAATTTTCTATAATCTTGGGTTTTTACTTGGTTTGGTCTGATCATAATAATTCAAACTAGTATCTGTCTCAGTCCTAATAAATTTGAGATCCTCAATACTTCTGGTGTGTACTGGAACTGAAAAATTCTTCTGATTTACAGAATTCAGTCTCCTTTGATCATTCAAGCATATGATTTTCATATTCCCAAGTCTGCTATTCTGCTGTCTAATTTCTACTGCTCGTAATTATGATACTTTTTCATTCCTATACTTTTTAAATGTTTCACACTTTTATAAGCCTAATATCAGATGTACATAATGGTGTAGTTCACACATGTTAACGCAAGAATATTTTAATCTGTGTTTTGATGAACAACTCACTATGGCCTGGTTCATGCAGTACTAAGTCATTATAAGCAGGTTCATATATTGTGCTAAATTAAACACATTGGAAATAGTATTACTAGTGTACCAGGTCAATGCTTATTGAATAAGATTATCCATGATGAATATTAAGGAAACTTGTTGTGCAATATGGTGATGTGTCATGGTAAAAATTATAGAGCAGAAAAGCTATAAAGCTATCATTTATGGAGTAATACAAATAAATTGCCTATTCTATCTGTTTTGTGAGAGACATCTCAGGATGTTGACATGGGACACAAAGATATACTCTCTGTGTTTAATTTCTACGTGTTATTACTTCATGATGTTCTTGTTTGTGTGAACAAGACTATGTCCTATGATTAGGACAAGGTTCAACTTTAAAATAAATCCCATTTTATCTATTTGGAGTCTTCTCTTTTCCTTAGGTGAGAAGCTACGTGTATTGGGTTACAATCAGAATGGTGAATGGAGTGAAGTACGCTCCAAGAATGGACAAGGATGGGTGCCAAGTAACTACATCACTCCAGTAAACAGCCTGGAGAAGCATTCCTGGTATCATGGACCAGTATCACGCAGTGCAGCTGAATATCTGTTGAGCAGCCTCATTAATGGCAGCTTCCTTGTTCGAGAAAGTGAGAGCAGTCCAGGACAGCTGTCAATCTCACTCAGGTACGAGGGACGTGTTTACCACTACAGGATCAATACCACCACAGATGGCAAGGTAAATCTGTTCTGAGAGACTTTTTTTGTATAAGTACAATATATCTATATGTATATAACATTTGGGCCAAAGAAATCTTAAATATACAAGTTCTTAAGCAAATGCTTCCTATTCTGTAATTCCATCTACCTTTGTAAGAATAAGTGCCTTCCTAGCAAGGGATGTTCTTCTGATTTTGCGTTGCATGAGCAAGTTGATTAGCCACTGATCAAACATCAAGAAAGCACTGAAATAATAGGTTCTGTTTTCTATTCTCTTCATTAGCAGCATCATTCCCCTCTGCATTATTTTGCAGAAATTGAAAAAACTCATCTTGGGAGACAAACTATTAAGTTAAATCTATATAACTAATGAGTTGAGATATATTCAGATACTGAGCTATGAGAAAATTACTCTTATAGTAATTCAGTTAACTTTGATGTGACAGGTTTACAGCAGTGTAAATTGGTTCTATTAATCTTTTTCCTGAATCACTGCTCCGACAATCCACTCATGGGTATTTCACTTTGCTTGTTGGAGACTGAGTGCAAAAGATTTTTCTTCCATTGCCTTGACCACGTCCCCTGGCTGAAATATTGTTTGAAAAGTTATGTATACTCCGATCATTCTGGGTGAACAATAGAAAGCATAGAAATTCTTATTTATAGTGGGTTCATTTCTTGAAAAATAAAAGTTGTTAGTCCTAATTCTTTAGATAAATCCCTTGGAGATAGTAGGCAGGGTCAGTTGCTAGGCATATTGTGAAGAGGGACTAATAATGCTCTAATAATCAAGTTGAAAATAACCAAAAGGAAGCAAGATCAAGTAGTCACATGTTATTCCAGAAAATAATAATGATCTCCCAGTTGCTTTCTGGACAAACTACTTGATCATTGGGAGGCCAAAGTACCTGGAGCAAACATCAGAAGCAGAAAATACAGAAGAAGCAAAGTCTAAGATGACAGTACAGGTAGTTCTCAATTTACAACCATTCATTCAAGCAGTCCAAAGTTACAGTAGTACTGGAAAAATATGGACTTATGACTTGCAGCCATTATAGCACCTCCATGGTCACCTGATCAAAATTTGGATGTTGGCCACCTGACTTTCACTGTCTTCTTCCTGGATCCAGGCTGTGGGAAAATGTACATCCCTGGGAGGCAAGTGGTGAGTGCAGTAGAGTAGCAGAGCTTCATCTGTCAAAGGAAGCTAACCAGGCCTGGCCAAAGAGGAAGTAGCAGGACAGTGTGGTATGATGCTTTATGTCACCAGGAAAGCAGACATCAGTTTCCTGCGCAACAGTGGAGACTGTGAGGGAGGGGCTGTTTGTGATGGCAGTACAACTGGAGGAATCAGGGATGTAAAACTTCCAGAGGCACAGCATACACTCTGCAACTTGTGTTGAAAGTGCTTCTGGAAAACTAGTCTGCAGACTTCAGCGAGGGATGGAGGCAAGCCCAACTCACAAATCCTTTTCTTGGTCTCAGCCCAGCCTTCCTCCTGCAAATCTCATGAATGGCCAGCAACGTGAGCTGCAGGGTGTGTACCAAAAGCACTCCTTGAGAACTGGCCTGCTGGTTTCAGCATATTGGAAGCTACTGGCCCTTTGCGAGGCTTTGCTTGAGGAAGGCTGGGCCAGGAGTGAATAGAGAGCTTGCAGGTAGGCTTTGCCCATGCAGGGCTTTTCCCTATCCTTCTCTGAAGCCTGCAGGCTAGTTTTCCCAGAAGATCTTCCAGCACAAGCTGCAGAGTGTATACTGCATCTGCAGGAAGCTTACATCCCATTATTTCCTCCACCTCTGCTACTACCCTAATCAACATCTCCCACACGGCCTCTACCTTCACTGGAAAGGTGGCACCAGCTTCCTTCCTTGTCAGGAGACAGCATCATGTCTTGCTGGCCAAGTGCCTCTTCTCTAGCAGGGCCTGGCAAGCCCCCTTCAGCATACAAGTCTTCACCACTCTGCCATATTTATCATGCATATCCCAGGGCTGCACACTCTCCCAGCACCTGGACCTTGGAATAATAATAATAATAATAATAATAATAATAATAATAATAATAATAATAACTCTGCAAAAAACCACTTTACTCGGAACAGCTTACATCCTCTGACGATACCTTAACAGTTCCTAGGTCCTTGGTTAGGACTCAAGCTGCTGAGCTATTAACCAGCCTCAAAGGCTGTGAATCTCACTAAAGATTAAATAATAATAATAATTATTATTATTATTATCATTATCATTATCATTATTATTATTATTATTATTATTATTATTATTATTATTATTATTATTTATTTCTATACCGCCCTTCTCCCGAAGGACTCAGGGCGGTGTACAGCCTATTAAAACACAAAAATATACAGACATCAATTAAAAAATTAAAACTATTAAATAATTTCGGCCCAAATTAAAACCCAAAAATTTAAAACATCCAATTTAAAATCATTTACATCAATTGATGTATACAGACATCAATTAAAAAATAATTAAAATTATTAAATAATTTCAGCCCAAATTAAAACCCAAAAATTTAAAACACCCAATTTAAAATCATTTACACTGATAGCCCGGCCTGGCGGAACAGTAGGGTCTTGAGGGCACAGCAAAATACACGGAGGTCGGAGATCATGCGCAATTCCGGGGGCAGTTCATTCCACAGGGCAGGAGCTCCCACAGAGAAGGCCCTCCCCCTGGGTGTCGCCTGCCGACATACCTTGGCCGATGGTACCCTGAGGAGCCCCTCTCTGTGGGAGCGGACTGGCCGGTGGGAGGCTACTGGTGGCAGAAGTCGGTCTTGAAGGTACCCGGGTCCTAAGCCATGGAGCGCTTTAAAGGTGGTGACCAATACCTTGAATCGCACCCGGAAGACCACTGGGAGCCAGTGCAGCTCACGCAGGAGAGGTGTCACATGAGCACAACGAGTCGTGCCCATAACCACCCGCGTGGTCGCATTCTGGATCAGTTGGAGCCTCCGAGTGCTCTTCAAGGGGAGCCCCATGTAGAGAGCATTGCAGTAGTCCAGCCTGGAGGTGACCAGGGCGTGAGTGACCATGCGCAAGGTGTCCCGGTCCAGAAAGAGCCGCAACTGGCAAATCAGGCGAACCTGATAAAAAGCCCCCCTGGCCACGGCCATCATATGCTCTTCTAAAGACAGCCGTGCGTCCAGGAGGACACCCAGATTACGACCCCTCTCTGTGGGGGGCAAAGATTCACCCCCAATAGTCAGCGATGGCACCAGCTGACTATATTGGGACGCCAGGAGCCACAGCCACTCGGTCTTGGCAGGGTTGAGTCTGAGCCTATTTCTCCCCATCCAGACCCGCACGGTCTCCCGGCAGCGAGACATCACATCAAGGGCATCATTGGGGTGGTCTGGGGTGGAGATGTACCAGGAGGAAGAAGATGGCAAATGTCAGCTGCCAGTTGGCAAAGGTCAGAGGCCAGCAGGAGTAGGTAACAGAGTTCAGGGCAGTCAAAAGGGCAGAGATGGGGGAGATAGATTCAGGGGAGGTGGTTGAAACACAGGATAGCAGAAGTGTGAGGCACTTATTTAACAATGGTGCTGTCCTAGCCTAACAACCTCAACTTGGAGTACTAGAATTGCTGTCACTAAGTAATGCAGTCACATGTTTCTTCTAACAATCACATTGCTTATAAGCAGAAAGTCCAATCTCAATTGTAGATAGGAGTCAAAAACTATCTGAATTGCGATTGAAATGCTATATGTCAGAAATATTCCATGGACTGGATTGGGAAACTTGAATTAAGCCAAATGGTTGGAAGCTTTCCACTCAAGAATTAGATTGTAACATTGAAGTATTAAGGTATACATGCATTCCCAAAAAGAGAAAAAAGAGAGATTTTAAGAGAGAAATACTTATTTCTATTTTTTTGTAATAATTTTATTAAATTTTAGATGCAATAAAAAATAATCTATATATATAAAAGCAAAAAATACTCACGCCGTAATCACAAATCTCCAGAACCGTAAAGCCTACAAACTTGAAATTTGCCACATATGTTCCTCTTGGCTTCTACGTGCTCACTAAGAAAGGATTTTTTGAAATGACCATCAGAGCATTAGTATTTCCTATATTATGATTAACACACTCTGATGCTAAGGAGTTCTACTCCCCCTCCCTACCTGAAAAGAAATCTGTTCCAAATGGAAAAACACAAGCAGAGGAGAGGAGTTTTACTTGCACAGGAGCAACCAGGGGATAGGATAGGGGAGGCTTCTGTGGGGCAAGTCTGAGGGAGAGAAGGGGATAGGATAGGGGAGGTTTCTATGGAGCAAGCCTGAGGGAGAGAAAGGGGATAGGATAGGATAGGGTTCCATGGGGCAAGGCTGAAGGAGGGAAGGGGAGAGAAGAGGCCAATCGTAACTATTCATTAATTTTCAAGATTTAAATGTTGATTTAGCAAGCCCAATCACATAGTTTCGTAGCGAAGCACAGGTATCCAGCTAGTACAGACTAAAATAAGAAAAAAGTGCAAAAAAGAAAAGGAAAAAGAAGTCCTCCAATAAAGCAGCTTCCTACCTCATCATAATCTCTTCATCTTCTCTTAACAAATATAAAACTCACACATACCCCTTTCAGAGACCCCTATCATGCAGTTTCCTTATGAAAAGCATTCACAAGGAGAACAACTTGTTTCGATCTTGTACTCTCTCTTTATCCAGAGAGGATTGTAGGAGTCAGTCTACTCATTGGCTCCTATTCATGGCTGCAAATGTTGGCTCCATTTTTTTCAGAGCCATCTTCAGTCCACCATCTTCTCCATAAATCACTCTTGTCTATATTTCTACATGTAGCCCTTTTTTACAGGAAAGAAGATGATAGGTTCGCTGCTGACAAAAATCAAAAGATTCCCAAGGGCCGTTATAATCTTTTTTTTCTCCACTTCTAATCACAAATTTTCATTTTTGTCTTTGCTTCCTCTGTTTTCTGTGCTCAAAAATAAGGGCTATCTCTTAATACTTAGAATATTTCATAAGGCTTTGTTTTGTTTTGATAAACTTTTGTTTATTTTGTTTCAGGATAATGATTTGAAGAAAATATTTTTTTCTCACTTGCTTACGTTTTCATGCCGCACATTGACCAGTTTATATAAGGTCTTCATTTCCTCTTTAACAGGTATATGTAACAGCTGAAAGTCGCTTTAACACATTGGCAGAACTAGTTCACCATCACTCAACGGTAGCTGATGGCCTCGTAACAACTTTGCACTACCCAGCACCCAAATGCAATAAGCCCACAGTCTATGGAGTGTCACCCATCCATGACAAATGGGAGATGGAAAGAACAGATATCACCATGAAGCACAAACTTGGGGGAGGACAATATGGTGAAGTGTATGTTGGGGTATGGAAGAAATATAACCTTACAGTTGCAGTGAAAACACTCAAGGTATGACTGCAGTCATGAGAGCATTGTGGTGTTATTGAAATGCATCTGAAGTGTACACTGCTAGGCCTAGAATACTTGTCTGTCTACTGATGTCATGAATATCAGGGGTTTGTGATTACAAAAGCACAAACCTTGCGAACTTGGGCTGTTTAGTATTGGCAGATTTTTAATGGTAGTCCTGAGCTTAAAATCATTCATGAAGAGATTGTCTGAAGTTGCAATAGTGCTGAAAAAAGTGACTTTCAACCAGTCATTGCATTTATCATAACATCCCTGTGATCACGTGATTGTGATTCAGGGGCTTGGCAATCAACATGCATTTGTGATGATTACAGCATCTCAGCAGCCAATTTCCGACAGGCAAAGTCAATGGGAGAAGCCAGATTTGCTTAACAACCATGGTAAATACATGATAAAATTGGGCACAATTCACTTAACGATCACATTGCTTAATAATGGAAGTTCCAGACTCCGTTATGGTCTTAAGTTGAGGACTATCTGTACAAATAGAGACACTCTCCCTCCGTACATTTAGGAAATGGAAATTGCCTATTAAAACTGGCTGACATTTTCCTTCTTTCTGTAAGCTGGAAATTTCAAATTCTTGGTTAGGACAGCCACTGTGCATATACATATATATAACACATGCTATCAGTAACATGGATCCTGCATCTCAGTTTTGCTACAGTGCTTCGTTTCTATCTTGCTACGGCTCACAGGCTAATTCAGAGTATATATATAAAAAACCTTTCCTGCAGAGATTAACCTTCCAAAAAATGTACTTTCAAGCGAAAAGATGTTCCATCATTTGCTTGAGGTACCGTATTTTCCGGCGTATAAGACAACTTTTTAACACATGAAAATCTTCTCAAAAGTCGGGTGTCGTTCTCTTGTAACCAGGCAGACCAGCCTGAAAGGCTCTGACAAGCCAAGCTCTGACCATCCCAGCTGAGGTGCCTGCTAATCAGGCAACTCAGCTGGGATCTCCAGAGCCATGTAAAAGGAAAAAAGCTAATCAACTCAGCTTGGATCGCCAGAGCCATGTAAAAGGAAAAAGTTTTCCCCCTCCAGCTTGCTTACCTTAGCTGCTAGTTGCAACGCTTGCCTTGCTTCGCTTGCTTGCGATCCATTCCATCAGCAAGCAACTCCCTGCCTGCAATCAAGCAGGCGGGGAGTTGTGGACTTCAGCTCCCAGAATTCCTCAGCTACAAAGCAAAGCTGGCTGAGGAATTCTGGGAGTTGAAGTCTACAAGTCTTAAAGTTGCCAAGGTTGGAGACCCCTGTTCTATTGGGTAAGTTTTTTTCCCCTTTGGGAGCTTTAAAAAAAATAGTTAATTGGGGGTTTTTTTAGTTGTTCTTTTTTAGACCTAGCCATTTAAAGTTTAGGAAGTTTTAAATTTAGCTTTCATATAAAAATAAAATAAAATAATATTTGTGCAGCTTTCTGAGATTTAGTGTGTTTCTGTAGTGTTTCACTCTAACTACACAAACACACTAAATCTCACAAAGCTGTATGTGGAATTTTGTGTGTGTAAAGTGTGAAAGTTGTTTTGGGGGGCTTTTTGTGGCTGTGTGAGGTTCCTGCTTGTTGCAGGGGCCATTTTGGGTCTAGCACAGCTGCTTTTACATTGTGGGTGAGCCAGTTGTGTTGTGTTGTGTGTGTGTAAAGTGTGAAAGTTGTTTTTTTGGGCTTTTTGTGGCTGTGTGAGGTTCCTGCTTGTTGCAGGGGCCATTTTGGGTCTAGCACAGGTGCTTTTACATTGTGGGTGAGCCAGTTGATGTTTTTTAATTTTTATTTGGTGTGCATTGGAAGAGGGGTAGTCTTATACAGCGAGTATAGCCCAAACCCTATATTTTAACAGGAAAAGTTGGGGGTCGTCTTATACGCCCAGTCTTATACGCTGGAAAATATGGTACTATTAATCCATTTGGAAAAGCTCAAATATTTGTAACTAAAGTATTACTTTCTGAAATATTTAATGTAAATTAAGAAATGATGTATCTGCGAATACCTATTTTGGGAGCAGATAACCAAGAATACCAGCTGGTCACTTCTGGAAATACAGTGCAACCAGTAGATAGACATTTTTGGATTTAGAAACATTCAGAAAGTCACGATTGCAGAAGTGTTGATCTCCTGAACATGATCTTTCCATTGTATGCTCCTACTTTCCTGTTATTATGGTTGAGTTGGCAACCAGGAAAAAAAGAGCTGGGAAATTGGATATGTACCTTGGTCTGTCATTTGCCCTCCTTGTAATAAGGCATCTGCTCCCAAATATCTGTGCAAATTAATTGGTGTTATTAAGAGGAGGCATGTCTTATCAAACTTCCAGGAAGATACTATGGAGGTAGAAGAGTTCTTGAAAGAAGCTTCTGTCATGAAGGAAATCAAGCATCCAAATCTAGTACAGTTATTAGGTAAGTGTACAAAACTGATCACACTTCTCTTTTTATTTAAATATATATTTGTTGCATTCCAACTGCACACATCAAACAGTTGAGGCATAGTATTTAAATTTTACTTGCTTTGGACCAGTTTGAACAAAACTCTAAATATGGAAAGCTTTCCTCTGATGAAATTGTGTTCACTGATCTTGCTCATTAGGCATGAGAGTTTTCTCTCCAGCTTTCCACACACTTGATTGATATACTATTAGAAAAGACTACATCTGCTTAAAGTAAACGACATCCCACTGCAATCTTTGCAGTTTTTGGTTCCTATGTTTTATGTGAAGGAAGGAAGGAAGGAAGGAAGGAAGGAAGGAAGGAAGGAAGGAATTAATTAATTAATGTGTGTTTGTTGGTTTTCCCTCAATCTATGAACCTGTGCAAATGTGTTTAAAGCAGTTCAGAGGTGGAATTGGCAGTTAAGGCCCCCTTGTTATTTTTCAAGCTTGAAAGTCATCTCTTAGTCTGCAAATGCCTAAAAGGAATGTTTTTTTTTTAAGTAGATTCAGAACCATGGTTAAAGCAAACAAAACCTCCAAGCTTCAACCAATTGTAACCCGCATTCCCAGCCCAAAATTTAGTGTAGTCTTTTGTCTGTTTATTCTCAATAAATAATCTCTTTTATTGCAATATATATTCCCACTTTTCTTCATAGCCATAAGAACTAGAAATATTATTATGGCCTCCAGATTATAGATTCATCTTGCTAATGGAAAAAAAAACAATTGCCACTGCTTCATGTGTATCAGAGCTGCGCCACCTGTTATCCACATTAGAGGCTTTGATGTGGATGTCTTTTTGCTAACAAATTTATCATTAAAATAAAGCAGAATGGTTTGTTGCTTAATTTTGATGGCAAACAGATTTTTCTATATAATCTGTCTTGCTGTTTTTTGTTTTGTTTTGTTTCTAATATCTTAGTAGAAAGTTATGGATGAGAGATTCCTGTCACCAGAAATAGAAAATGAACTCTTGAAGTAGTTTATTTGAAATTAAACCGAGGACCATATATAATTATAGGTAGTTTTTACTTAGCATTCATTTGTTCAGCAACTGTTCAAAGTTACAATGGCGTTGAAAATGGACTTATGACCAGTTTTGACAATTACTGATTAGATTTTATTGCAAAATTGTAGGTACATAAGGATTTACCAACTCTTCTATGTTTCTTCAGGTGTGTGCACCCTAGAACCCCCTTTTTATATAGTAACCGAATATATGCCCTATGGGAACCTGCTGGACTACCTACGAGAGTGCAATCGGGAAGAAGTGACTGCTGTTGTCTTGCTGTATATGGCCACCCAAATATCTTCTGCCATGGAGTACTTGGAGAAGAAGAATTTTATTCACAGGTCAGCAGAAAATCTTGACATTCAGTAAAGCAGGAATGTAGGAGGAATATAAGAATGCATCTGTGAATTGCAGTGCATTATCTTGAGGGTGAAGGTATAATAGAATTTGATTGATCAGACTTATTCCAAGCTAATTTGAATTGAAGGAAATCTCAGGGATCTTGCCCTAGTTTTATAATTGTTTTAATTTTGAGGACAAATAGCAAATTTCTTTCCACGGTAACGTAATGTATTATATATTTGAAAGCTCAGAAACCTATGTATATGTTTTGCCTCCAAATATGTCTCATCTTGACTGTAAGGTAAAGGTAAAGGTTTTCCCTGTCCAGTCATTTCTGACTCTAGGAGAACAGTGCTCATCTCTGTTTCTTAGCTGAGAGAGCCAGTATTGTCCAAAGATGTTTCCATGATCATGTGGCCAACATGATTATATGCTGAGATGCACAGGACCTTCCCTCCGAAGTGGTACCTATCTACTCGCATTTCAATGCATTTGAACTGCGGTCAAGAGCTGGGGCAAGAATGGGATATCTCCCCATTGTGCAGTGCTTGGGTCTTGAACCCAGGCTGTCAACTTTCCAACTGACAAGCTCAGTTGTAATTTAACCACTGAGCCATCACGCCCCCTATCTTGACTGTATAAGTGTTTTATGAATCTTTAGAGACTACATTTTATATTCTGAATTACTTCCACCATGTATACAATATATTGTTGGGCTAGAGTATTCTGTCATCAGAATTGGGCTAGATTTTCTATTGTCAGAATTGCTATTCTGTTGATACAGGCAAGAATATGAATTTTGAATAAAAAATATTTTAGGCAGAATTAAACATATCTTGTACATTTACTAGCTCTGAGCTTCAATTTCAAAGAAGAAAACATCACTCAAAAGGATGTATTGCTAAACTTAGTATATTATTAAAATCCAAACATCCATGTGAAATGGAAATTTAGGTGCAAGGTTTTGGCATAAATTTGAAATATTAAAAAGCAAACAATTTCAATATGGTGCCTTAATGTTATTAAGTTAGGAATACTAGAAGCTAAAAAAAGTTCTTAATTAGTGTAGGGATTCAGAATCTGTTGTGACCTAAATGTAATAAGATTTATCTGCCAAATGAATGAGAATCAGAATAAAATCTTAGTGTGTTTTAAATGGAATTCATTTTAAATGGAATTAAATACAACTCATACAGTGACCTCATATTTAATATTTTTTCTCTTGTAATCCATTAGCAGTTCAGAAGTAAATTTGGGAGACATTGTAGGAGCTGCACTAGAGACCTAGGAGAGCCATATGCTTTCCATACACCATTCCCTACAGGAGTGCATTTATATAGAACTAGTTCCACTGACAATGAGAAGATTCTTGAGTATCAGAATAGGAACAGGAAAAGATTAATTTGACCTCAGATTAAAATTATATGATTGTGAAAAAAAACTTCCTTTCTATTCTCTAGTGAAGAAGTCCCCCTTTTTATTTTGTAGGCTTTGCCTTCTTCTCCTGATGGCTCCAGTCACTGGAACTGATTTTAAAAATAGCAAACACCCATCAACAGCCATAATAAAGTAGTGATGGTTCATTGAAACTGTGGGGCTGATTTTTGCTACAAGATTTCCCAGCAGATATAAAGCACTTGAGAAAGGGCCTGAATAAGCTGGCAAGTGTTTCATGGCTTATCTTCTATGTATGACCTCCAGGTTGCAACAGCCAGAATGTAGGGCAGGACAATTCATTGGGATGATTACTTAAATCTGGGAGGTGGACCATCTGTCCAAAACTATCCTTGCTTCCAAAATCTTGCAGGAAGAAAACCGATTTGGCAAATCCCCGTATTCCCTATATTTTTGAGGAAGGAAAAGATCTTGCCCATAATTCTTTAAAATAACATGAGACAGATAAACAACATTTGCAACAGAAACTTGCTTTTCATTCAGAGAACAGGCATTAACATTCCTACTGATCCTGTGCTGGGCAAAAACTGAAACATACTCATCCAGTCTCAACAAGATCAAATGACCTTCAATATGACACAAAAAAGATCTGTTTGGAAGACTACTTCAAGAAATTCTGTCATATCTAGAAAGCCAACTCAACTAGCAGACGTGCCTAGAACAACATTATAACTTCTGAGAAACTGAGTTAGATATCTGTCCTCCCCAGTGCATCAAGCATTTAATAAACATTAATGGTATAAAGCAAGTACAGTAGAACCTCTGGTCATGAACGCTTCTGACTATGACCAAATCAGGTTCTGACCAAAAAATTCACAACCCCCGCCCCCGGCGGTTGATTTCCCCTTCCACGCCATTTTTTTTGTAAGCGCCAAATTTCCAAAATTAGGTTCGGGTCACGACCAATTGGGTTGCGACCAAGGTTATGGACAAATTATGGTCATGATACCATTTTAAAAACTGTTCTTAGGAGCCTTCTTGATTTTTATTAATTGTTTCCAAGAAAAACAGAGATTGGACAGCAGAGTTAAACCTATATAGATTGATCAAATGGTGATCTGGCAATCATTATACCAGGTGACCTGTAGATATCCATAGGCTTAACATAGGCTAGCATTTACATTCCCATCAGATGCATACAGGTTTTCCTACAACAACAGCACCCAGTTTCGGTTCCAGGCAAACGACAACATTTACAGGAACAGCTTTATGGTTAAGCGAATCAAAAGCCCAACCAATGCTATATTTAAGGATCATGAAAGATGGAACATAAGTATAGGCTTTTTAAAGAACAATCAGAAAGGACATAAATAGAGGCAAGATCCTGAAGGGAAAACATTCAACACTTACAAAGGTGGTATGTATTCAAGGAATAAGTACATAAATAGTGCCTTGCTGGATCAGATCCCTGGCTCACCTAGTCTAGCAGTCTGTTCTCACAGTGGTCAGTTGATTGCACAATGAAGCCTACTAGTTTCCCCACAGATGTCCTTCAAAGGCAGGCAGTCACACTAATGTCAAGCCTAATAACCATTGATCCCAGATTTTCATGAATTGGTCCAGTTCTTTTTTGAAGCAAGTCAAGCTGGTAGCCAGCACCATCTCTTGATAGCAAATTCAAATATTAAATTGTGTGTTGCATAAAAAGAAAATCCTCTTGTGTATCCTAATTCTTTTAGGGTTCAGTTTCATTGGCTTATTTTTATTTATACTTTCTGTGGGGATTTCTTCTCTCCTTGTTGTTCTTTACTCATTGTTAACTCTTTCTGACCTGATGAATATTATTTTGCTAGGAATGTCTGTCAATAAATATGGTACTTACTTGAGTTATTCTTGTGAGTTTGTGCTTTTTCCATTACAGAACCATATTGCCAGTAAACACTGAATTGCTTATGTGCATAGAAAACATCTTGACAAGAACTGCAGGAATTGCCAAGGGTGATTTAGGATGCTTCAATAAAAAGCTACATAAATTAAAAACTGGCTGGAGATGCCAGTGTCTCCTTTCCATCACGATAGTTTATAAAGAGTTCATTGAATGTGTGGAAGCTGGCAGTATTTGCAGCAGGAAAGAATAGATCCTATACTCAAGATTTTTCTAAAGATGCTGGCGAAACGAATCATCTTGTTCATGAGTAGGAACAATAGATGTAGTCTTTCCCATTTTTAGAGCAAAAGCAATAACTTATTTTGCCATCCCCATAATCTGTAGATCTGCATTGTGTGTTCCCATTAATATCAAGTATTCCTAGTACATTCTAGAAGATAAAACTGCTCAGAGGTAAAATCATCCAAATTGCGGTTCTCTGATCTGGTTGAAATTGTGTATGGAACCTGCTGATATGCCTAATTGCATTATCAAACAAGCTCCACCTTTAGTTGGAAATTCAAATTTCCTGCCTGCATAGCCAATTAGGATTGGTTTATTTGTTTTTGTGCCTTTGAGTCAATGTTGACTTGTAATTTTCTTGGCAAGTTTTCAGAAGTGGTTTCCCATTGCTTCCCTCCTAGGACTGTCTAGCCCAAGGTTACCCAACTGATTTCATGCCTAAGGCAAGATTAGAACTCATGATATCCTGGTTTCTAGCCCAATGCTTATCTATTACATTCTTACATTTAGACTCAAAATTTTCATATATTTTTAATAGGATTTTAAACAATTCGTAAGGATTTTTATAATTAGCTTCTCAATCTTAATGGTAATTAATCTGATTCCTTGGTGCGTTTGCAACGTTCCAAAATCAACATTCCACTCATTCTTTTACTGTTCATTTCAAAATAAAAAAAATCTTCAAATTCTTAAACTTACATAAAATTTCTTTCACTAGGGATTGAAGGAAAATCATACCGAAAAATGAAATGTGTCATTCTAAAATTTCTTGGTTTCCCAAAAGCAGTTAACAAGGCATTTCCTGAAATAATTAAGAGGAAATGTATGAACTCAATGTCTGTTTGAAGGCTCCGAACTGCTGCTTAGGCAAAGCTGAGTTTCTTTTGACTTCCAGATCTCTGAAACCCACCAAAGACTGCTGCTTTATGGTCTCACAAGGAGACTCTGTAAGGACCACTTGTGGGTGATCTTGGTTCTCTCCTTGATCTAGAGAAGAGTTTGGGGAACCAAACTTTTCTGCTGCAACCATGGGCTATGCCCTCCGCTACTTTATCTGCTATTACTATTACTTACCTAGAATTCCTGAATGAATGTTTTATTGAAGAAATATATTGTATTTATTGTAGATTCTCACAGTTCCAAAATTGGGGATCTCAGAAGTCATTATTTAACAATTTCCAGTTTATCTCCATGAATCCAGTCTTAAAATATTTGTATGCCTCCTCTAACATCCTAGTATGGACCAGTCATACACTTTCAGGATATTTGTGGGGGATATAGAAAGAGGAAGAAATGTTGGATATGTTCGCCGCCTTATTTCTAAAAATAATAAAGATGGGATACAAATAAATGAATAAAATAGAGGTGCTAATTTTCTCGTATTTTTTGCTTATATAGGGATCTAGCAGCTCGGAATTGTTTGGTGGGAGAAAATCACGTGGTGAAAGTAGCTGACTTTGGATTAAGCAGACTGATGACAGGAGACACATATACAGCTCATGCTGGAGCAAAGTTTCCTATCAAATGGACAGCACCAGAAAGTCTGGCCTATAACACATTCTCAATCAAATCAGATGTTTGGGGTAAGAGAAAAAGTCCTTTAGTACAGAGTTCTTTTATGTATCAGTAAGTAAATCAGGATTATAAAGTTACATTGGGCTATTTTTATATTCTCAGGATAGTATTTCTTTAGTTAAGAAGTTCAATATACCTTGATAAGAAGAATCAGTGTTGTTTAAACAATGCAGCTTTAAACATTCTTGCTTAATTTGCAGCTTTTGGAGTATTGCTGTGGGAGATTGCCACTTATGGAATGTCCCCCTATCCTGGCATTGACCTTTCTCAAGTTTATGATCTGTTGGAGAAAGGTTACAGGATGGAACAGCCTGAAGGTTGCCCACCAAAAGTCTATGAACTCATGAGAGCATGTGAGTAGAATGCTCTGATTTTTATTTTACAAGCAAATGTAAATTGAAAAAATGCAACTGGAAGTCTTGGTAACTTTTCCAAGTACATTTAGCATTTATTATTATATATGATAATAAGTTTGTTGATATACAGGCAGTTTCTTGTGAACAGAAAAACTGTTACTAGTGGACAGCTTCTGTAAAACTGAATGGTCCTTAAATTGATTTCTGTTGAGGAGGTTGAATAAATGTTTCATGTTTCCTAATATGACTGGAATAGAATTGATAGAAAATCATGGTACATAACTTCATGATTACAGGGACAAAACCATTTAAGATCCTTTTAAAACACAGATATGGACTCATTCAGTAGCCTGTCAAGGAAACTGTGTTACCTTTGCTCCCTTATTGTAGTGTGCTACGTCCTCTTAAAAATACAATGTGTTTAACAGAGATGAGGAAATCTCCTGAACAGTATAGGTTTTGGTATGGGTGTCTGCAATAAAAAGAGAATTGCTGAAAATTGGATGGGATCCCCTGACCTTCTGAATATGTTTGGAAACAGGCTTTTCCCCCCTCCCACCCCAAATTTTTATTTGACTTCACTGGAACAAATGGGTTTATATGGAGTTTTAAGATTCCTCTGCTGTTTTTAATATTAGTAAACGGGTGAATGACCCAATAACAATATCAAAATAAATTTCTAAGTTCAACACTGGATCTAGATTTGTGGATTATCCAATAGACATCCAAGTTATGTCAAATCTTAAATTTAGTCAAAATAATATGTGCAAAAATTTAGTAAAAATTACATTGCACTCCAGGAGGATCTGAGATTTTTTAAAAAAGGTCCAGGATGGAGATGTGTGTGTGCATGCATGCATACATTTACACATATAAACATATGCACACTTATAGATACTGTAGAAGAAATCATAGTGTGTGTGTCTTTGTGTGTGTGTATAAATATAATTAAGCTCCATGGATAGTGAAGGTTAACACTCATGGAGTTATTAAGAAAGGATGGCAAAGATCAAATACCATATATATTTATTATGAAGTAGAAATACAGATAGTCCTCAACTTACAACCACAATTGGGACTAGAATCTCAGTTATTGAGCAAAGCAGTCAATAAGAGAGATGTCATATGATTGCCCACATGACTGCTTTTGTCAGTGACTGAAATCCCAGCATTCCTACTTGCAATCATTAATTTATCTTGTAGTTTAAGTGGATGGAATCCCATGTAAAGAGTGTGGGGTGCCTGAGGGTGGGGTGGGGGACTTTGGAGAGCCCAGCACAGGTTTCTCAGGAGTGTCTTTCCAGTCCAGTATTGAAAATCCTGCTTGCAGCGAGAATTTTCAGTGCCAGAGTGGAGAGACACTCTTGGTGGCCTGTGCTGGGCTTCCCAGAGCCTTGTCCATCTTCCTGAGGCACCCCAAGCTCATTATAGCTGCTTCTGCTGTGATGCTGCTATCAGGTTGTCAAGTGCTCAGGTCCTAATCATGTGACATTTACATGATTGCATATTTGAATTTACTTGCACAAAGTGTTTTATTTGAATATCAAAATGTAACTACAAAATTTAAAGAACTAATAAATAGCCAAACACACAAAAACAAACAGGAACATATTAAAATTAAAACTGCATCATATTCAAAGGAGAGTAGCAGTCCCAGTGTAAAAAATAGAAATTTAAAAAAAAGTAGCTTTAGCCTATATCTAAAGCAGATTTTAATTTAGTATTTAAAAGGTCTTAGAATTGGGAAAATCCAGGTGCCCAATTTTTAACCCTACTTTAAATGGTAAAGGAATCTGGGTCACTCCTTGAATTAATATACAGACATTTCATTTTATTTATTTATACAATGCTTAGCGCATTGTAAGCCGCCCTGAGTCTCCGGAGAAGGGCGGCATATAAATCAAATTTTAAAAAAAATATTATTAGACTTAAACACCTCATCTCACTGTTAAAGTGATTCTGGGTGCTGGAAATACATAACTTTAGACATGCCATTCTAAATATGCCAATTCATTGAGAAATTTTCCATTAAAAATCAATGCTTTGAAGTAGACCTGGAAGTTAAAAAATAAGTATTATCAATTTTATAGATCTACTGCTAGTCGTTGACTTACAACTGTTCGTTTACTGACCATTCAAAGTTACAACAGCACTGAAAAAGGTGACTTATCACCATTTTTCACAGTTACAACCTTTGAAGCATTCCCAAGGTCACGTTATCAGAATTCAGATATTTATAGATGGTTGCAGTGTCCCAAGGTCATGCAATCATTTTTTGCAATCTTCTGACAAGCAAAGTTAATGGGAAAGCCAAACCCACTTAACAACTATGGTGCTAACTTAACAAGTATGGTGATTTACTTAACTGTGGCAAGAAAGGTCATAAAATGCGGTAAAAATAACTTTTGGGCTCAATTATAATCGTAAGTCGAGAACTACCTGTATTTCAGGCAATGACCACCTGGGCCAGTTGAAATTTTCAGAAATATTTTTTCAAGATATTAAGTGGAATAAGTACAACTTTTAAGGTGGAAGAGAATGATAATCCTAAGGATGTACGATATCGTTTTGTTCTACCTTAAAAACTAACTAGTTAAAATGAGAGCACTAAAAACAGCTACAAATCAACCGGGAAGTTAAATATTCTACTATTCTACTGGAAAAAAGGTAAAATTAAAGCATCTGGATTCTTTTGGTCAGAAAAAAAGACCAAAAAATTGTGTTTAGTTAAGTTATAAATGGTGCTTGAGAGTTCTAAATTTTTTCAATTACCCATTTGCTGCTATTAGAAGAAATTTGTAAAGGTTCAAAGTAAATGAAAACATATTTATTTGTCGTGTAGCAGTTCAGTGTTGTTCTGACCAGCAACTTACATTACTTTAATTGAGTTTAGCTAATTATGTGTAGAATGGCCAGCTATTATTCATCATAAATAAATGGAACCTTCAGCATCATAAATACCAGACATTCAAGATAAAGAAGATTTTTACTTTCAGGCCCTTTTTCTGGGTCTTCCAAAAATATCTGGCTGATCAGTACTAGAAAGGGAATACCAGACTACACAGCTATATCAAGGTATTTCTTACATTCAGAAATGTTGGCAGTAATTTTAAGATATTTGAGAAGTAGAATGCAATAAACCATGATAAGAACGTTAAAAATGTTACCAGAGTTACAGTGGAAGACACTTTTGCTCCAGAATAGTGGGAATTAGAGTGCAAATTCTAATGGAAATAGTAATTCCCTGCTGCTTTTTATTATTATTGTAGGCTGGAAATGGAATCCCCTAGATAGACCTTCATTTGCTGAAACTCACCAAGCTTTTGAAACCATGTTTCATGATTCTAGCATTTCTGAAGGTAAGGACCTGTTTGCTAACTTATTCTGAAGTTTCTATGATATTTTTGAAATAAGCTTTTCTTTTTTTTTTTTTTGCTTCCCCAATGTAATCAAAATAATTTGAGTACCTTTTGTTAGGCTACTGGATTTATACTATAAAACAATCTAGACAATTGTCCAGTTCAAACCTATACTAAATGTTAGAATTACAAAGTTGAGCCACTAGAAGACTTGCACACAAACCTAAGGCTGTGAGTTATCCTCATTCTCACTTAGCTTTTAATGTGTGAAGGAAGAGATTTTAAATCTTGTGTTTATTATTTTTCCTCATCTGTTAATTGTGGGGGGAAGAATATACAAGCCAAAGCATGTATTCATTTATTCTAACAAGTATGCACTTTTTCTGTGTATTTTTTTCCCAAATCATGCTGTGTGCATCTATGGTTTTTTTTTTTAAATCAACAGTGATACAAAATTATTGAATCAATTTTCCTTGCAAACAACTAGTTGTGGTCCGGTCCACTTATTAATTTGAGAATAATGGTTTAAATTAGTCTTATCAAGTTCTTTTCCCCTAGTTCAGAGCAAGGAAACTATGAAACATACGATTCCCATACGAGGTTCTATAAAGAGAAACAGTTGCTCCAATGAGTCACACTTAGATGCTGTGTTCTTATTTCTGCACATTCTAAAAAAAATTTTCAAATAAAATTCAAGATATTCTATAATTCTGTTGTTTGATTCTTTAGAAACCATACTTCAGAATTGTTAGAGTCTGAAAAAGTCTGTTGCTAACTAGCTATTAGTACTATATTATATGGTGTAATATCGTGATGGTGAACTTATAGCATGCGTGTCCGAAGTGGCACGGGGAGCCATGTCGCCTGGCATGCGCGGCATCGCCCGTTCCTCTTCCGGGTTTCTGGTGTGCATGCGCATGCGAGGAACAACTGGCCTTTGTGTGTGCAGCAGTGCCGGAAACTGGAAGAGCTGGTCTTCCGTTTTCTGGCACGCACATGCACGCCAGAAAGTGGAAGACTTGTGCGCAGGAAACAAGAAGTACCTTATCTGGCATGCACATGCCCACTGGGCAGCTCCTCTTCCTGGCTATGACCCTGATGAGCGTGAGTGCTCACGAAGCGCTCTGTTTTTGGCACTCAGTGCCGAAAAGGTTTTCCATCACTGGCCTAATATATTGCTTCTTTGGCATTTTGAAATCATTAAAACTATCTCATTATGCAACTGAATATATACTGAATATACTTCACAGTATCATCTCTTATTAGCACCAGCTCTTTCTTTCTCTTTCCTTTGCTGCTCTCTATTTCAGTAGGGTAACAGTTATTTATTTATTTGTTTGTTTGTTTGTTTGTTTGTTTGTTTGTTTGTTTGTTTGTTTGTTATTTAAATTTTTATACCGCCCTTCTCCCAAGGGACTCAGGGCGGTGCACAGCCACAATAAAACACATATTTCCATAAAGTTTAAAAACAGTTTAAAACATATTAAATAATTTGGCCCTTATATTAAAAAACAAAGAGCTTACAAAGAGCTTTAGAAAAACTGTTGCCTAAACTTGTTGCAATCAGGATTTAGACCTGGACATAGAATTGAAACCATATTTTTCATCTTCAGATCACTTGATTATGCTAATCCAAACCTTTTGGCAGTATTTGGTACTATGTGATGCTTACTGGACCACCTACTTTATTATTTATTTATTACATTTATATTCTGCCTCAATCAATATTGATAGTTGAAGTAACTACAGTGGGGCAAAAAAGTATTTAGTCAGCCACCAGTTGTGCAAGTTCTCCCACTTAAAAAGATAAGAGAGGCCTGTAATTGACATCATAGGTAGACCTCAACTATGAGAGACAAAATGAGAAAACAAATCCAGACAATCACATTGTCTGATTTGGAAAGAATTTATTTGCAAATTATGGTGGAAAATAAGCATTTGGTCAATATCAAAAGTTCATCTCAATACTTTGTTATATATCCTTTGTTGGCAATGACAGAGGTCAAACGTTTTCTGTAAGTCTTCACAAGGTTGGCACACACTGTTGCTGGTATGTTGGCCCATTCCTCCATGCAGATCTCCTCTAGAGCAGTGATGTTTTGGGGCTGTCGCTGGGCAACACGGACTTTCAACTCCCTCCAAAGGTTTTCTATGGGGTTGAGATCTGGAGATTGGCTAGGCCACTCTAGGACCTTGAAATGCTTCTTACGAAGCCACTCCTTCATTGCCCGGGCAGTGTGTTTGGGATCATTGTCATGCTGAAAGACCCAGCCACGTTTCATCTTCAATGCCCTTGCTGATGGAAGGAGGTTTGCACTCAAAATCTTACGATACATGGCCCCATTCATTCTTTCCTGTACACGGATCAGTCGTCCTGGTCCCTTTGCAGAGAAACAGCCCCAAAGCATGATGTTGCCACCCCCATGCTTCACATTAGGTATGGTGTTCTTTGGATGCAACTCAGCATTTATTTATTTATTTATTTATTTATTAAATTTATATACCGCCCTATTCCTAAGGGACTCAGGGCGGTGAACAGCGAACGATAAAAATACATGTAATACAAACGTTAATAATAAAAAACCAATTAAAATATACTAAACATTCTGGTCCTAGATAATTCAAGACATCCCAGTTTAAAATAAAATCAAAAAGCAATATAAAGGGAAAGTTAGCCCAGGCCGGCCTGCTGAAACAGGAATGTTTTGAGGGCACGGCGGAAAGTGCGCAGATCCGGAATCTTCTGTAACTCTGGGGGGAGTTCGTTCCAGATGGTGGGTGCCCCCACAGAAAAGGCTCTCCCCCTGGGGGCCGCCAGTTGACATTGTTTGGCTGACGGCACCCTGAGAAGCCCCTCTCTATGGGAGCGTACTGGGCGGTGAGAGGCTATTGGTGGCAGAAGGCGGTCTCGTAAGTACCCCGGTCCTAAGCCATGGAGCGCTCTAAAGGTGGTAACTAAGACCTTGAAACGCACCCGGAAGACCACAGGGAGCCAGTGCAGCTCGCGCAGGAGGGGAGCCACATGGGAGCGCCATGCTGCTCCCATAACTACCCGCGCGGCCGCATTCTGGACCAGCTGGAGCCTCCGGGTGCTCTTCAAGGGGAGCCCCATGTAGAGAGCATTACAGTAGTCCAAGCGTGAAGTGACGAGGGCATGAGTGACCGTTTTTAACGAGTCCCGATCCAGAAAGGGACGCAACTGGCGAATCAGGCGAACCTGATAAAAAGACCTCCCGGCCACAGCTGTCAAGTGTTCTTCTAAAGACAGCCGTGAGTCCAAGAGGACGCCTAAGTTGCGAACCCTCTCCGTGGGGGGCAATGACTCATCCCCAATAGTCAGTGATGGCACCAATTGACTATATCGGGACGTCGGAAACCACAGCCACTCGGTCTTGGATGGGTTGAGCCTGAGTCTGTTCCTCCCCATCCAGATCCGTACAGCCTCCAGGCACTGGGACATCACTTTAAGGGCATCATTGGGGTGGTCCGGGGTGGAGATGTATAGCTGAGTATCATCAGCATACTGATGATACTTCACCCCAAAACCACGGATGATCTCACCCAGCGGCTTCACATAAATGTTGAACAGAAGGGGTGAGAGAACCGACCCCTGTGGCACCCCACATATAAGGGGCCTCGGGGTCGACCTCTGCCCCCCTGTCAACACAGACTGCGACCGATCAGATAGAAAGGAGGAGAACCACCGCAACACGGTGCCTCCCACCCCTAACTCCTCCAACCGGTGCAGCATGATACCATGGTCGATGGTATCAAAAGCTGCTGAGAGGTCTAATAGGACCAGGATAGAGGAGCAACCCCTGTCCCGGGCCCTCCAGAGATCATCTACCAATGCGACCAATGCCGTTTCCGTGCTGTATCCAGGCCTGAAGCCCGACTGGAACGGATCTAGATAAGCCGATTCATCCAAGTACTGAGGAAGCTGTCGCGCTACCACACTCTCAACAACCTTCGCAATGAAGCGAAGGTTGGAGACTGGACGGTAATTAGCCAACACTGCTGGGTCCAGAGAAGGCTTCTTGAGGAGAGGCCTCACCACCGCCTCCTTCAAGGCAGCAGGGAAGACACCCTCTCTCAAGGAAGCATTTATAATCCCCTGGAGCCAGCCTCGTGTAACCTCCCGAGAGGCCAGCACCAGCCAGGAGGGACACGGGTCCAATAAACATGTGGCCGCGCTTAGTCTGCCCAGTATCTTGTCCACGTTTTCCAGAGTCACAGAATCAAACTCTTCCCAGATAATATTCTCAAGACTTGCCTCCATCCTCCCTCCCGAATCTACCCAGTCAGAGTCCAAATTTTCCCGAATCTGAGCGATTTTGTCATACAAATATTGTACAAAGTCCTCGGCTCTACCCTCCAAGGGGTCCTTCCGCGCTTCCTGGTGGAGCAGGGAGCGGGTCACCCTAAACAGGGTGGCCGGGCGATTATCTGATGACGCAATAAGAGCGGAAAAATAGTTACATTTTGCCGCTTTTATTGCCACCAGGTAGGTCTTAATATGAGACCTTACCAGTGTTCGGTCAGATTCAGAACGGCTGGCCCTCCAACTGCTCTCCAGGCGTCTTTTCCGGCGTTTCATCTCCCTCAGCTCCTCGGTGAACCAGGGAGCCAGGTGAGATCGACGCCGGGTCAGAGGCCGCAAAGGCACGACCCGGTCCAAAGCTCCAGCGGCCACCCTATCCCAGATAGCCACTAGGTCTTCAGTCGAGCCGTGTGCCAGAGCCTCAGGAAATGGCCCAAGCTCCGTCTGGAACCTATCCGGGTCCATCAGGCGCCTGGGGCGGAACCACCTCATCGGTTCCGCCTCCCTGCAGCGGGGTGTGGCAGTTCGAAGGTCAAAGCGAAGGAGGGAGCGATCTGACCATGACAAGGGCTCGATCGCTATATCCCCTATCTCGAGACCACTCAGCCACTGACCAGAGACAAAAACCAGGTCCAGCGTGTTTCCCCCCGTGTGAGTAGGGCCATGAACTAACTGGGTCAGGTCCATGGCCATCATGGAAGCCATGAACTCCTGAGCCACCTCAGACGCCTCACCGACGGATGGCAGGTTGAAGTCCCCCATGACCATAAGTCTAGGGGTATCAATCGCCACCGCGGCTATAACGTTGAGTAGTTCAGGCAAGGCCGCTGCCACGTGGCAGGGAGCCAGGTACGTAACCAGCAGGCCCATCTGCACCCCATGACCCCACTTCACAAGGAGGGATTCACATCCGGCCGTCTGAGGAACAGTGGCCTCCCTCGGACTAAGACCCTCTTTAATGATAACTGCCACCCCCCCGCCCCTTCCCTGTGACCTTGGCTGATGAAATGCCCGGAAACCGGGTGGGCACATCTCTATGAGAGGGACTCCCCCCCTCCTGGCCCAACCAGGTCTCCGTAATACCCACCAGGTCCGCTCCCCCCTCCTGAACAAGATCACAAAAGCATTCTCTCTCCTCCAAACACGACGAGTTGTGTTTCTACCAAACAGTTCTACTTTGGTTTCATCTGACCATATGACATTCTCCCAATCTTCTTCTGAATCATCCAAATGCTCTCTAGCAAACTTCAGACGGGCCCGGACATGTACTGGCTTAAGCAGGGGGACACGTCTGGCACTGCAGGATCTGAGTCCCTGGCGGCGTAGTGTGTTACTTATGGTAGCCTTTGTTACGTTGGTCCCAGCTCTCTGCAGGTCATTCACTAGGTCCCCCCGTGTGGTTCTGGGATTTTTGCTCACTGTTCTTGTGATCATTTTGACCCCATGGGGTGAGATCTTGCGTGGAGCCCCAGATCGAGGGAGATTATCAGTGGTCTTGTATGTCTTCCATTTTCTAATTATTGCTCCCACAGTTGATTTCTTCACACCAAGCTGCTTGCCTATTGCAGATTCAGTCTTCCCAGCCTGGTGCAGGTCTACAATTTTGTTTCTGGTGTCCTTCGACAGCTCTTTGGTCTTCACCATAGTGGAGTTTGGAGTGTGACTGTTTGAGGTTGTGGACAGGTGTCTTTTATACTGATAACAAATTCAAACAGGTGCCATTAATACAGGTAATGAGTGGAGGACAGAGGAGCCTCTTAAAAAAGAAGTTACAGGTCTGTGAGAGCCAGAAATCCTTCTTGTTTGTAGGTGACCAAATACTTATTTTCCACCATAATTTGCAAATAAATTCTTTCCAAATCAGACAATGTGATTGTCTGGATTTGTTTTCTCATTTTGTCTCTCATAGTTGAGGTCTACCTATGATGACAATTACAGGCCTCTCTCATCTTTTTAAGTGGGAGAATTTGCACAATTGGTGGCTGACTAAATACTTTTTTGCCCCACTGTATATTATGGTGGTTGTGTTCCTTCCTGAGTGGGAGAGTCCAGTTAATTGTTATAGAATGGGTTCTTGTGCAATCTATCACATGCTGCTTCAGGGCTTGGTCTTATACCTAATTGTGCCATTTATGCAGTATGAAATCTACTTGTGTATCCCTATGGCCAAACGTGGGTTGCAGTGAAAGCCCTGATCCATCATCTGTTGCCTGTCAGGGCCTGGATGTGGAATAACTGATTCAGATTTAGCCCTGGCAAGAAAAAGAGGGTATTCATTTAGAAACCCACCAATTCTGCTATAATACATTGATTATATCGTTTTTTACTCTCAGTGAAATTGCTTCCCCATTGGGAGCAGACCTGCACTTTGATAGTCCTCAAAGCTCCTGTTAGAACGATAGGTGGACATTATAACCAGGAAAGCATTTGTCCACCTTCGGTTGTTGAACTGAATGTAACCTTACCTAGATGGGACACTGAAGATAGTTGCTCTTACATCTCCCTTATGGATTATTATAATTTCATTCAGGGCTGTTGTTGAACACTATCTGGAAATTTCAGTTGGGCAATCCCAATACTGGCATATAATATCATTGCAGTAGGAAGTGCACAGGCTAATAATATAGTTCCAAATGGCATTTCATTGTGCCAGTCATTATATATAAAGCCCTATGTACCTTGCATTTCTTCAAGTCCACTCATCCTATATAGATCTGCCCATCAAGTCTGAGAGCATGGAAAATGTGTGCAAAAGATCCAAACTATGTAAGGTACGGTGACAATGGTCCTCAAAATAAGTATTCTTTGTAAGAGCAGCACACCTCTGGAATAGGTTGTCCCCGAGGCAACATAACATTCCAAAAACTTCACTGTTTCAAAAGGCATTTGTGTCGCAGGGAACATTTAATCATTTCCATGGTTAATAATAAACTTTTGATTGCAGTCGTATACCATGTTGGTTTTGTTGTACACGTTGTACAGTACTTTATTGTTGCGTTGACTTCAGCTGATTCTCCTCTTGCTTAGATTTGGTTGACTGAAGCAACTTGTAATTAATGAATACAAATTATTTCATGCATGTTTATTACAGAAGTGGCAGAAGAACTTGGAAGGACCGCATCTTCTTCTTCAATAGTTCCATATTTGCCTCGATTACCTATACTTCCTTCCAAGACTAGAACCTTAAAAAAACAAACAGAAAACAAAGAGAATATTGAAGGAGCACAGGAGATCATAGAGCACTCTGCATCAAGTTCTGCTCCAGGTATGTTATTTGAGTGGTCCAGACTCAGGGACTCAGGTCCTGGGAAATAATATTTCAAAGAAAGGGAAAGAGAAAAATTGGATTACAACTAACATTGCAGCACATGATTTCTCATCTTCTCAAAAAAAAATTCTTGAAATCTAATGTGAATGGTGCACCAATCTTCTGGAACAGGTTTAAATATCCATAAGTAATTAAAATGAGGATTACATTTGTTCTGCTGGTGAATAGACATAAAAAGTGGATACATCCGTCTGTATTTATGGATGGTGGAGGAAGCAGAATATCTGGTCAGCTATTTAGATTATATATTAGATCAGTTTGAATGTGCGAGCTCCTAAATTAATCTGACTTTTGTATTAAAAGCAATGTCGTAGTAATATTTCCCCCCTAATATTTCCCCTCCTAAATCCAGTCAATTGTAGATTAACTGCTTTTCTTGCTAAGAATGCAGTAATAACCATAATAAAACAGAAGAAATTTAAGCAACATAATATAGAGAAATTTACTCATTTGTATAATATGCTAGTGAATATCTGAAATCAATATATATCACTGGAGTCAAGATAAGGAGAGAAGACTAGGAAATTAAAAGTAAGGAAGGGCTGTGCCAGATATCAGTGATGTATCCATGACCACATATCCTGATTGCTGAGAGGAAAAAGAAACCTTTTAAATATGCTTTCCCTCACAGCAAAGAGCACAGACTCAAGATTTCTAAGGCTTCAGTGCCACTTATCAATTCTTCTGCTTTTGCTGGGCAAAAAGGATAATTCTGCAGACCAAATCCCATTCTTCTATTTCTTTTAAAAGTTAAATAATAGTATTTCTCTGGTGAACAGCAAGGCTGTTTCCTCTCCTTTCAGTGTGAGGGAGGCACAAAGTTACTGCATCACCATGAACAGCAGACTTTTCTGTTCTTTTGTCTAGGTTTTATCAGAAGCACACAGCAGACCAGCGGATCCCCAGCACTACCTCGTAAACAGAGAGACAAGTCACCTAGTGGCCTGTTAGAAGATACTAGAGAAACTACCTTTACCAGAGACAGAAAAGGTGGTTTCTTTAGCTCGTTTATGAAAAAGAAAAACGCCCCTACACCTCCCAAACGCAGCAGTTCCTTCCGTGAAATGGAAAACCAGGCTCATAAGAAGTATGAATTAACGGGTAATTTTTCCGGAGTTGGTCCATTGCAGCATATTGATGGATTTTCATTTACTCCCTCCCAGCAAGATGGAAATCTTTGCTTATCCAAGTGTTACATTGGGAGCTTTGCACAGCGGAACTTCTATGGGGAAGATGGTGGTGGTGGCAGCAGCAGTGGGGGCACAAGCATTGGAAGTGGTTGGTCAGGCCTCACAGGCTTCTTTACACCTCGCCTGATTAAAAAGACATTTGGTTTACGAGCTGGGAGGCCCACTGGAGGTGATGAAGCTTCAAAACCTTTTCCTCGATCAAACTCCACATCTTCCATGTCTGCAGGTCTTCCTGAGCAGGAGAGAATGGCAATGACTCTTCCCCGAAATTGCCACAGGTCCAAAGTTCAACTGGAAAGGACAGTATCCACTTCCTCCGAGCCCGAGGAGAACACAGACAAGTCCAATGATCTTCTCCCTAAAAGGTGTGAAGATATTCATACGCTGACCAGAAGCCGACCAAAAACTAAACTGCTGCCGAGGGGTGCTACAGCTGTTCCTCTCAGGACTCCTTCTCTGGACACATCTGTTTCAGAGAAGGATTGTCAAGGGCCAACAGCAGCAGCAAGCCTGAAAAGCAAAGAAAAAAACAGTGGGATACGACAAGGTTCAGTAGAAGGAGAAGAAAAACCAGGCTGGCCTTCTCCAGCCAAGGCTGCAGCAATACTTCCAACCACTCATAATCACAAAGTGCCCGTTCTCATCTCACCTACTTTAAAGCATACACCAGCTGAGGTGCAGCTCATTGGCACAGACTCTCAGGGGAATCGGTTCAAGCTCTTATCTGAGCATCAGGGCACTGCTTCTAGTGACAGGGATAGACCCAGACGGATAAAACCAAAGTGTGCTCCACCTCCTCCTCCGCCTCCGCCACCACAAGGAGTCCTGAGGCTCCTTCATCAGCCTCCAGGTACCTCAGATACAGTAGAAGAGTTGGATAATGGAGCATTGGTACAGCATGGGCAAGATAGTGAGGGCAGCAAAAAGGTAACAGTGGCACCTACTGGTGGAAAAGCTGGAAGGCCAATAATGCCTCCACCTCAAGTGCCTTTGCCATTGTCTTCGTCACCTGCTAAAATGGCAAATGGCACAGCGGGAGCTAAAGTTGCTCTGAGAAAGACCAAACAGACAGCTGAGAGAATCTCAGCAGACAAGATCAGCAAAGAGGCGCTTTTGGAATGTGCAGACCTCCTCTCCAGTGCCATTGCAGAGCCTACCACAAATAGCCAGCTGGTGGATACTGGGCACCAACTATTAGATTACTGTTCAGGTTATGTGGATTGCATCCCCCAAACGCGCAACAAATTTGCCTTCCGGGAAGCCGTAAGCAAACTGGAACTTAGCCTGCAGGAACTGCAGGTGTCGTCGATGGCTGCTAATCTGCCTGGAGCAAATCCTGTACTTAATAACTTATTGTCTTGTGTTCAAGAAATCAGTGATGTTGTTCAGAGGTAGCTACTGTCAAACCATCTGCTTAGGAGGAAAAAAAAGTTCACAAAATTGAGAGAAGAGTCAGAGTGACTTCTTCTAATCATTTTTTCCCTATGTTAATGTTTTGAAAGAAGAGACTGATACTTGAGTAAGTTTTATGTGAAGTACCTCAGATCACTGAGCTCACATGTTTACAGGTTCATCTCAGTACATGGGGCAGATAAGAGGGAAGCAAAGTTTCACAGGGGTCAGATGATTGCAGCTGAGGCAGGAAAAATATTGAGAATTTGCCTTGGTGAGAAAATTGCAAAAATAGAGCTTGTGCTCTTGTTCACTTCTGGGAGGAAGGAGATTCCATGAAGGTACCTTTGGTTTGATAAGGTGCTTTATTCTCTTTGATGCTTTTCCAGTTGATTAGAATTACTGGACAAGAGATGGGGTTCTTTTTCTGCACTACTCTGTATTTTAACTTTCTGAGGTCATATCAGAAAGGCTTAGAGGTGCCATTGGAAGTCAACTAGATCTTTCCAAGAAAGAGAGGATAATTTTGAGAGAAAGTCTTTTATATTTAAAAAAAAAGATTGGCACTGTAGGAAGTGCATGTACTAGCCTGTCTGGTAGACCTTCTGCAGTGCAATTGGTTGCTGTAATCATAGATGCAAAAAGGGAAAACAAAAGAGCTGGAATATGAAATGCATCCCCCTTTATCATCCCCATATCATATTAATCACTCACACGTTCACTCTTTCACAGCATCTTGAATGACAATTTAAGCAGACTTGCCACTGGATTTCACACAATCACACCTTAGACTCAAACTGCGGTCATCACCATGTGGGTAGCATAGCATGGTTAGCTAACCAATGGCAATCACTTGAGTTCTTTGGAGGATAGCATGCCCAAGAAACTTAATTTATCTCTGACGTTGAACTTTGGTACAGTTGTGGCTTTGCTATACCTTGAGGAGCTCTTTTGAATTAAAAACACTGCAGAATGCTGCTAGTGTTCTCTACATTCCTATTTTAATTGTGCTTACCTTAATGTCATTTCTTTTTGAGAAAACTAGAGACCTGAGGCCTTCATATTTTCTAGTAGAACTATAAATTTGCTCTTGGAATACCAGTTCAGGTGTATTGCTGATATGGATTCTTTGTTTAGATTTTTGCTTTATTTATAGTTTCAAGACACTGCCTGCACATGGATTCATTATAAGTGATTAGTCTATAAACATGCTGCCATCTCCCTTCAAGTAGTCCAGTTGCAAAACTCATTCATCTTCTAAAGTCAGCTTGCTACGGGACCACTAATTTTAAAGATCCACTGATGTTAAGTAAATGATACTGGGTTTTTTCTGTGATTAATGTGACTTTAAACTAGCATTTGCACCACACATTTGCTTCTGAAAGATAGAGAAATCAGGCTATATGCTTCCATGAGGCCTCTTTTTTTGTTTATCCCAGATCCCCTGAACTCATTCTGTTTATTGAAATTCAGCAACAAACTGTGGAAAAATGGAGCTGTGGTTTCCCATTAATTTTTTTGTCAAGAAACAAAACAAGGAAGATATTTGATATTTGAAAGGCTTAATAGAAAGAAATCATGGAGTCCCTGTTTGAAATGTCTTGGGAATCCTGATTCACCCCACCCCACCCCACATAACATGGTGATACCATTTTGTTCTCTGGAGCTGTTGGCTACCAATAATTAGATATGGTATGGTCTCAGTCACAAGTGGGTTCATTTCAGCCTTAAACCATACATAAATGGAAGGTTTTTTAGCCTTACTGTCTGGAGAAGGAGATTAAAAGCACATTCATACTAGCCAGAATCCTGCCATTAAGTTTTCCACAAATTACACTGAACAAGCAGTATTATTAGAGGAGGGAAAACTCACAGAATGAAAGCACATTTGGGTTCCATTTCTGATTCAGAACAATAAGGTCTACACATAGTGGAGAATAAGCAGGTTCCACAATGCTTCAGATCCAAAGGGGGAAATGCTAAAGAGCATCCAGAGCTACTCACATAGTATTTGTTTTCAGTTTGTCTTTTTTTCTTAGGATTATGCGATAGCTAACACGCCAGCATGCAGAGGTTTTAAGTAGTTTTCAATGGGTTCTATGGGAGTGTTTCCCCTATCTGGAATCATTATTCCCATTTTGAATCCAAACTATTGCACAGCCTTAGAGAACAGTACATGCTGCAGATGTCCAGTGCACAATTTCTTCCATTTCTGAGCAAGAAAAAAATGGATATCTATACATGTGTCTACAATAATCGCATTGACATAAGGGGATACCCATTCTCATCATGCAGACAATTTTTTTTCTTGATGGCTTTTGGAATTGGCTTCTGGTGCCCATTGTGTCTTCAGTTACTGTTCTGCTTTCCTGAGAGAATTCTGAATTTGAGTTATTCGTATACTATTTACATGTTGGACAATGGTTTATATAGTATGTTTACGTTCACCATATGCTGCTCTTAATACAAAATCTGTTTTAAAAATGCAAGGGCCTGCAACTTTATATTTGCCTGGGATCTTAGATCTGGGATCTAAAAATCTTTCCCTCACAGAGTTCTAATTCTGTTGTCACTGAAATTACTGTTCCAAAATAAATTGACTTTGTTCTGGTAAGTAACAAGTAGCTTGAGGTGGGGAAAATGTACTTCTCTGATATTTCACATGTACACACACACACACACACACACACACACACACACACACACACCCCTACCTTCCAGGTATATACTGCAGTTCATGTCTGCAGACTTCTTTTGCACCAGACTGTTAAAATCATCCAGTTTGTCATAGAATTGTAGATTATATCATTGACATAGTTTATTTAGACCATTGAGTCCAATCCCTGACAAATGTTTGCTCAGATTATACTAGATTTCCAGTGAATGGAAACTCTACTATTTCACAAAAACTGATTTGACTGTTGAACTGGTCCTCCTATTTGAAAATTATTCTAACATTCAGCAGGAATACGGCTTGCTGAAAATTAAGACCATTTTTCTGTGCCCTGGTATTTATTCCCTTCTGAGACGTCTTTTGTCAAGACTAAGATTGACCGGTTTCTCAATCTCTCGTGTTGCACTTGATTTCCAGTCCCTGATCATCTTTGTTGCTTCTCTTTCTACTTGTTATAGTCATCTATATTTTTCTTATATTCCTCTGAGGGAAATGGGTGATTAAGAAGTGTGATATAAAATAAATAAAATGCTAAGTACTGGAGTGGACATAATACTTAAGTGGTTCTGACCAGTTCAGAACAGAATGGAACAATTACTTCCTGTGATTTGGAAAATCACAAGAGCACAAGAAGGAATATATAAAACACCTTACTTTTGCTTTTCTTCATAACAGGTCTGTGAGAAAAAGCTCTACTATCTTTTTTCTCCTTTGTTTACTGTTCTGTTAGGGTTTCCTTGGTACATTTTCTCGTTAGCTTTTCGGGCAGTTAGTTCTACCTGCCACTGCACCTTTCTTAGTATCTTATTTTCATCAATTAGAAGCATTAATCTAAATTCATTTAGGGCCAAATTTCACATACCTTTTAATTTTTTTAATTGGTCATGTTTAAGTATTGAAAGTTTAAAACATTGCATGTTGCATATTGATTTTTATGGCGAACCTTTTAGTGATTGTGTGGATACAAAGTTGTCATTGAATCTGTACACAATACAATATATGCTAATGGAAAAATGAAAAGAATCACTTTTGCTTCTTAAGCCAGACTGCATCAGGCTATACATTGTTCACCAAGTGAAAAAAAATTCAATATATCAATTAATTTCTGAAATTTGAAATAATTGACAATGGCTTGGGAGGAAAGCTAAGAAAGCTGAAACAGATTCTGTGCATTAGTTCAGAAAACTTGAATTTTTGGTATAATGGTGAACATTTCCAAAATTTGGGAGAGTGAATAGAAGAAATCACCCCCTAAAGATTCCAAAGACATTTTCACCTGTTTCAATCAATCAGAATAGAGCTGGAAGAGACTTTGGAGGTGGTCTAATCCAAACCCCTACTCAAGCAGGAGACCCTATGCCATTTCAGACAAATGGCTCCAGTCCAGTCTTCTTAAAGCCCTCCAGTGATGAAGCGGCCACAACTTCTGAAGGCAAGCTGTTCCACTGGTTAATTGTTCTCAATGTTAGAAAGTTTTTCCTTAATTCCAGGTTGCTTCTCTCTTTAATTAGTTTCCAGCCATTGTCTTGCCTTGCTTCCTTCAAGTTATTAGCATTTCATGTCAAATGAACATGCTTGGTCCTTGAGTAGTTTGAGAATTCCCACTCGGGTTTTCTCCCTAGTTTTATGTACTTCTCAAACTTTTATTTTCTTCTGATGACTGGGTGCTGCCTTAGATAAGCAAATGACACTGAAGATTAAAGTTGATACTAATATGTATAATAATTAAGAGAAACATTGACAGTTGTACTTCTCTGTTATATTATTACCCATTCCAGCATTTTGTAGATCAGGCATCCTTCCAAAATTATGCATACAAAGTCTCGTGTGTTTGTGGATTTATAATGCAAAACTCACTTTGTACTTGAAATTAATTCACTTCTCAGTTTTTTGCAGTTTCATTGAATGTGTGAAGTAAAATTTAATATCTAGCTAAATCCAAACAACTAAATTAGCTATTTTCCTCATCTTTAGATAGAATGTTGTGTTAACATATGGGTCATATGTTCTCATGCAGAAAGTGTGGTCCTCCTTAACTAGAATTGTCACCAAAGACAAATTTCTTGTGTGTCCAATCACACTTGGCCAATAAATAATTCTATCTATCTTCCTGATCCCTGACCATAGGGCTGATGAAATTTAGAATCCCAATAACATCTGAAGGATTAAGTACCAGAATACTTGCACCTGAAGGCAAGGCAAGAAACAATGGATGGAAACTAATCAAGGAAAGAAGCAACCTGGAATTGAGAAACTTCCTAACAGTGAGAACAATTAACCAATGGAACAGCTTGCCTTCAGAAGTTAAGAGATTGGACAGCTACTTGTCTCAAATTGCATAGTGTCTCCTGCTTGAGCAGGGTGTTGGACTAGAAGACCTCCAATTTCCCTTCCTGTTCTATTCTGATTTATTGAAATATTTCCAGTCTTCCACTATATGAAGGTTTAACAATAAATTATTGACAATCAACACTCTACAGTCAAGAAATTTGGTAACATCTTTATTCAAAAATATAAGAAATCAAGAATGAAATTTACTCCATTTAAACAGGAAGCTAATTATAACAAAATGGTTATGATTGTGCAAGTTTTATTTCTTTTTCCATTTCAATTGTTATATAGTTTAAGTCCACATTTGCTAAATATGAAAGTTTAACCAGAGGTGATCAAGTTCCAACTCGAGGCAGATTTCTCTTAATATTTTCTGTGATCTTTTCTGATGCTTCTCAATCACCTTTGACTGTTTTTAGCTTCTCATCCCAGTTTAGATGGTGGCATAATAAGAAGCAGAATCCTGGCATTATTTTGCATATTAAATATAGAGACAGTTCACATTCCACTCTCTGTAATAAGAGCAAAATAGCTTTTGAAAGTCACTATATTTGGAAATGCAGTCAATCCCCCCCCGCCCCCCAAGGAATCATTAGGGGACTGTGAATAATATCTGCTAGGCATTGAAAGCTTTAAAGCCATTGTCCCAAACTGGTACCTTCATGATAGTTTAATTTCAACTCTTATACAGTACATTTTAGCATAATCCAACAAAAATTTGGATGTTATTTGAATGAAGGCTGCTTGAGATTGTACTGTACTGAAACGTTGGATATGCAGAGAATTTTTTCTGGTTATACATGAGTTTCAGATTACCATTTTGATCTTTCTTGATAACAGTAGGAAGATGTTATCTTTTGCTCAAGTAATTGCTTTTCAGGCAATAATGCTTAAACCTTGCCTTTATTATTTTGTTGTTATAAAATTTGTGCTTCATGTCTTTTATTGGTTACCTTGCTACAGTGAAGATATGAGGGGCAGAACTGTACTATTATGTATGCTGTTCTTGAAGCTGAGTGGTTCAGAAATGAATTCACTGTAAATCTAAGGTGTAGTTCTTTTTCTTCTGGCTAAACATAACAGGAATGCATTCTGTTCATTTGCACCTTTGGTAGAAGTTTCTACAGTCAATTTGTGGAAAAGGGATGACGTTAATAGTTAACGGAATCTTACGAGAGAACTCTGGTTTTAGTTGGTGGAATAGTTTGTGTTCTATACATAGATTGGTTCCTTACTGAATTCAAAATGTTCCCAGATTGCCTTGGAACTGTAAGAAGCAAATCAGTCCTCTTGCATAATGTGAAATAGCCTTTTTATATTACATACAATTCATTCAAAAATAATATTGCTGTGCTCCTAATGGCAGAAATTCTAGAGCAGTGTACTATCATACTTTTTATAATTAATTTTTTAAATAGTTGTAGCACTGAAAATTGATTGGCAAACTCCAGTTAGTTCAAAATATAGTACAAAATGTATACAAAAATATCAGGCTTCTCCAGTAAAATCGTCTCAAAATAAAATCCATGGGAGGCCTTAGGCAGACAGGAACTTCCTGAGCCCATGGATTTGCAAAATAGTGAAATATTATCTTTCCATTAAGGCAGGGATATTATGTGCTCAAAAAATAGTTCTAATTTTTGGATAACTAAGGGCTCCAGTGAAGGAATGATGTTGCAAGAACAATTTGCAAGCTGTTAGAGGTAGAATTACTAAGGTAATTGTGTCATGCAGGGTTTTTTTAAAAAAATATAAACCTACAGATTTTTATTGTTTGATTTTCTCATTGCTGCTCTGTTTTTTTAGTGATTTGCTGCTGAAATTTCACAGGACAGTTTTTAGGGGGTCAATGATCAAGAGGATTGTAGGCTATCAATAGCTCTGCATTGAAAATTAGCGTTTTCAGTAACATTTTCCTTGATTCTCTGGTCTTAAAGCAGGATAAAGCATTCATTCTCTAAGGAAGTTGTTCTGCTTAATAGTATATTATGACACCATGTGAGTAGCCTGAGATGTGAAGTCTAAGTTTTCTATTTTCTGAAGTATATCATCAAAACACTAAATATGGAAAACACTAAAAACAGGTTATTGTTTGGTCATTGTCTTTGAAGCTGGCTAAATAATGCCTTCAAATCCTCCTTCAATTTTTTTTTTTTTTTGTCAAAAACAAGGGAAAACTTTCGTTGTTCATCTTGTGAAAAAAAAATTGCTAAATTTGTATTTCATACATGCTTTAAAATTAAATATTAAAGCTTGTCCAATCTTTGTATTTCAGAATATAAGTATTGTTTAAACGTTGCGATCAATTTACAAAACTTGTATTTTGGAAAAATGGATGAACCTTTGTGATATGCTTTCTTTCCCTCTACTTTTGATTTGAATGGAAGCACAATCCCTTTTTCCTCTTCTCAGTGCAATCTAGGAAAGATTTTTATTGATTTGATTTTGCTCATTTGCTAGATTTCCCAAGAAGCTACTGGACATCCCAATACATCTATTTTAGACTATTTTAGACTGCGTGGATCTTGGAACTATATTTAACTGAAAGGAAATGAGCCTTAATTTAAGATGACCCCTCTCCACAAAAGATTAAAGAGAAATAACCCTTCTCTCTTACTCAGTGCTCAGTCTCCTATTGATATATGATGAGCCCCTATGTTAAAAATTACCGTGGAAACACTTAGTCTTTCTTTTAAGCAAGTAGACTATTGGCTAACCCCTTTTCTGCTTCTTCATGGATGGCATGCTTGTTTTAAAATACAGACTTTGGAAATGCTGAAATGACTAAAGCAATGAGCATGATCAGACACCACTTTCTATTTCCCATTCACAGTACTGTATTAAGAGTTACCTGTGCACAGTTGGTTCAAGTACAACTCATGATGTGAAAATGTGGCCTTTTCCTCTAATCCAGAAAGGTGGCATATTAGGAATGTCTTATTTCTCTGAAATTGCCTAGGGCAAAAATGGCCAACATTGTGTGATGTGTAAGGAGTAGATTTCCAGAGGGCGGGTGGGTGGGTGGGTATGGATGGTTAAGGATATTAATCAACCCAGCACTCCATTAGTTGAATTCACTGAGGATTAAAATGGGTGAAACTGAAATGTGTAACTCACACAGAAAAACCCACACTACTAGTGTTGTCAAATGTTATTTTGTTTTTTGTTGTTGTTTGTAATATATTTGGTTTTTTTTCTAATTTAAATTTTCACTATTTCCTGACTGTGAACTGCAAACAGTGTTAACTTGATGTAAGTAAGGCCCTTAGAGGCATTGCCTCTGCCTGTTCCAGACATTTTTGCCAATTTGCATTTTGTTTTAAATAAAAATTGCAATATTTTATTGGCAATTAAATTTCAGGACATGTTACTTTCTTTTAGGGCATAGTGACTGAGTGAATAATGAAATTCAAAGAAAAACATGCAGTTACATATCTACAAGATTAAAAAAGGAACTGGTTTGGCATTTCACACTTACATGTATGATGACTTGAACATGTGAAAGCCGTCACAAATGATTCGTTACAAGTCAGAATTCAAGGAACTCTCAGTGGTTTTCTTTGGAAATCATCCACAGAGTTTGCCGGCACCCATTCAGATGCTGAAATGTTGTACACAAATGGAAATGGCTCTTCTGAAGCTGCTAACACAAGACAGGTTCATATTTCTAGAATAACAAGGCGCATTTTGTTCTGCACTGTATATCTTCTCTTTCTTCACCTCCAGTCACAGGTTACAAATGTTATATCATTTAGCAAGCTAACCTAAACAGTAAATACAACATTGCTGACATTTGACTAGCAAACAAAATGTCAACAATTTGTGTAATACCTTTTTGGTTAGCCATAATGCTTTGCACAGCTTTTATAACAAGCCACTCTGAAAATTAAATGGAGGTTTAGGTCTATGTGCTTGCATTCACAGAATCTGTAGAAGAAGAAATGGGACATGACTGCCTGGCACACACAATGCACAACTGTTTGCCTATCTGCAGATTTTAAAGTATTCCCTATCTTGTTTAAAAGATATAATTGGGATTGTCATTTTAGCACTACATGACTCTGACTATGCCCATGATTGTTGTTCAATTTCCCTTTTCCCTTTTGGAATGCTCACCCAAAAGTGAGGCTGGGATAATTAGCAAGAAGGGAATTAATGTTTGTATTTACATTTATTGGAAAGAAAGGGATTACAAGAGAGTAAGCAGCTACACAATGAGAAATACACATGTAAAGGAGCACACCAGCACCAGCTGTTTGCCTAGCTTACTTGGGGCCTTGAGCCGCCAGCAGCATAGGAGACAAAAACCAAATGTGTGAAAGTGACTAAATACTTGTCAGTTACAGGCAGCAGCTGACAACTGGCTAATTAAAATAATAGATCTCGGCTTCTTAACTTGCTGGTAGCATTTTGGGGGAAAAAACACTGTGATAGAAAGTTCAGGAAAAGATCACTTGTTTAAGTGGGGGTTGTTGTGATGGGAAGGTCAGGCACAGGACATGTACTGACTCTAATGGCAAATGTGTCTGAGAGTTACTTTTTCATCATCATCTTGAGATAATTGCCAAGTGAGATCTACCTTTATTTTACAATTGTGAAGCATTATTTCTAAAATGTGAGAACAAGAAACCCAATTTCTATCATTTGCCCTAAAATCTATAATCTAACATTTCTTCTAAATTGGGATTGTACTAAAATCAGATTCTGGGGACACTTACGTTGCCCCAAAGACACTTGGTCTTCCACATAGGGCTCAATTTTGCACAAGGTTTGTGTAATTTTTGAAACTTAAATTGTGTGTACAGTCAGTCTATGTACATACTGTACTTAGCTCTTACAAACGGAGTATATCTGGCAGCTAAATCTGTGTTATATTTACTCTGACAAAGCAAGTGTCCTGCTGTAAATGCCAAACTTCAGTATCCCACAAAAGCAACACTCCACTCAACATTTTAATCTACAAGGTTGACAGAAGTTCAATACCAGCAAATAGTGGCTTATGCAAGGAGTGCTTATCACAGAACTGGAACCTCATTGCTCAATTTCAGTGCTGGACTAGAAGTATATTGTATGTCCTGTTGTAAAAGTTATAATAAAAAGAATGGGACATATTTTGTCTTTTGATATGTATACTCTGAAAAGTGCAATTTTAGCAATGTCAAATGATATTTAAAAGATTGATATTAAATATATATAAAACAAAGATTGACACCAGGCCTCTAATAAGGGACAAAATATTTCCTTCATACCTTCGTTCGACACAAGGATTGTGGAAAAAAAGGTAGATTGCATTGTAAGGAAATACGATAGCTCTTCACCCAGTCACACACTAAGAATGCAGAATAGGAAGTTGCTTGATTCAAATCATTGTCAATTATCTAAGACCTGGAAATAAAATTAAGTCCATCTCACATCTTCTAGATGGGGGTCTTCTCCCCAGGCTATCTGAAAATCCACTCAATGTAATGGATAACAATATGTGATCCAAAAGCATCATTTGTAACCAGTATTGGAAAAATACTCTGGATATATTACTATTTCAGTAATACTATTCATGTAGATTCCATATCCATAATGGAGTTTTCTTACCTTTTTTAGCTGGGCAACCCCAATAATATGGGGAACGAAGGTAATATTACACTAGTTAGTGTAATAAATAAAATATGTGTCCCTTGTATAAGATAAAAGAGAACAAACTCAATTGCAATCATCTTCACCTTCCCCTGTCAAAGAAGAAACTAGTGTATACGCTGAGATACTGATTTGCAACCTTGAGCAGAAAATAATTCCTTCCCCTTGGGAGCAAATATCGTCCTTGCAATTTCATCTAGCATCTCTTCAGTGAACTGTAGATCTCGAGCAAGAAAAGCATCCCGAGCACAGAGCTTCACATGGCGATATTCCAAAGGCAAGAAAGGTACCAGAAAGTCTATGAGGTTTTCCTGATGAAGGAAATTGTGGGCATCTGGAAAAAGAAAGAAAGAAAGGCACAATTCATCTGGTAACTCCTGCTTTTTAGTTATTGACCAGGGTAGACAGTAATTAATTACTTGGCATTACTGGGGAGGCCAAAATAGTTTATTTTTAATAGTATCTTTGATACACATGGCCTATTTTAAGATAATACCAGCAACAGTGATAGGCTATTTTTTCCTTGTTGGCAATACTGGAGTAGTTTCATGATTTGTGTCCTGGTTACGCTGTTCTGATCTGTCTGGTACTTTTCTAGTTTTTTTTCTATTACTTTGTATGCTAAGTAAGGAGGAATGGTTGTAAATAAGGACATTATGTCAAAGGAGACAATGATCTTTTCAGGAGCCACATTAAGCCTTGTAGTTTTGTCAAAAATTGTGTGGGTGATGTGATCATACTGTTTGAGGGTAGAATCAGGAAACTTAAGCGTTGTGCCAGCATTTTAAACCAGGTTGCTGATAGGGTACCTCATAGCACTACAATAAGTCTGTTCCCATACATTTGCAATTTAAAAACAGCAGGAAAAAACGATTTGATGAAGAAGAAGAGAAGACAAGTTAATGGCAACAAAGGATTATATTGGCTTTGTTGTAGATTTAGAGCTGCTTTATATAATAAAACAAAAAACACTATCATTTATTTATAGCTGCTCATCTCACCAATACCAACTTTGGGGTGGCATCCGACAATGAGATAAAACAGCAATATAAAAAAAACAGATATTAAATGTAAAAATCCATGGCAAACTGAAAACTTTCTGGCAGACTAACCAAGGTTGGAGCCACTATAGTAGAATTTAGGGAAGAGGCTTACTCTGCCTCTTTCTTTCTATTTTATACCTCTTATCTTGCAGAGTAAAACACACAAAGAAAAGGAAATGGAAACGGAGTATCTAGAACAGGGATATCTGTCAAACTTGATTTCATTAAGGGCCGCATCAGGATTGTGTTTGACCTCAGGGGGCCAGGGTGGGCATAGCCAGGGTGGTCGTGGCCAGCTCGATGTCACTTGTGTCAGGCGCCTGTGGTGGCTCGAGCGCTCTGCAAGCGAAAAAGTGCTCCCGAGCTCCATTTTCAGCTGTGACGGCCTGCAATCCTCTGCCAGAGAAAATGGAGCTCGAGAGAGTTGCACATGGCCCTCGCAAGCTCCGTTTTCGCTTGCAGAGGCACCGCCAGTGAATAGCTCCTATCAGCTGTTCCAGGCTGCGGGGATCATTGCCGCCCATCAGCGCCGGCACCGCCCATCAGCTCTGTCACCTATCGCTGCCTTTGCGCGCCCCATTTTCGGCCTCTGCATATCTCGCTTTCGGCCTCCATGCGTCCCATTTTCAGCCTGTTCCAGGCGGCGGGGATAGCCGCCACTGCCTATCCCCGCCACCTGGAATGGGCCGAAAATGGGATGTGCAGAGGCTGAAAATGGGGCGCACGGAGGCTGAAAACGGGGTGCGCGGAGGTGGCAACAGGTGACAGCGGCAATGGGTGGCAGTGATCCCCACAGCCTGCAACAACTGATAGGCGATATTCCAGGATGCAGATCCAACCGCCAATCAACTGCTCCTGCTAAATCAGGCTGTGCTGAAACTGACCTTGCTGTTTGCTGCAAGGAGGTAAATTGCTGGGAGGCAGAAGCCGAAGGGTGGGGGCCGGCGGGTGGGCGGGGCTTCAGCAACATTCACTGTATAAGATGAACAGACATTTCCACTCACTTTTTTTGAGGGGGGAAAGTGCATCTTATACTCCGAAAAGTACGGTAGTTTAAAAAAGCTTATATCATGAAACATGGTATTAAGATGCTATAATATTTTCTTTTAGACTAACATGCCTTAGTATCTTTTGTGAGTGCCTATTAATCAGCAGGCAAGAAAAGAAACTGCATACATTTGAAGAAAAATAAAACCTGGCATGTCACAGTATGTGTTAACAGATCCCTCCAATTATTGCTTGTGACCATATTATCCATTCCATTAGAATGGTGAAAATTAACATACTTTTTAAAAAAGCACTGATATTATTTGTGTATGGGCAAATATAACTTTACATTTGCTTTCAATCAATATCTTTGCAAAAGACAATGCATTACTACCCGAGTTAGAACTGCAGTGGCGGTAAAGCTTTAGGAACAAACAGCAATTCACCTGGGGAATCCAGCAGGTCTCTCCGCAGGAATTGTTCTAAATATTCCATGGTGATCTCTTCCCTAGCTTTACCAGCTTGCCAGAAATCCAGGGCCACCTTATTGATGATGTTTCCACCAGTGTTACTGGGTAAAAAAAAAAAAAAAATTACAGGTAGTCCTCAACTTATAACCATTCATTTAGTGATTATTCAAAGTTATAACATACTGGAAAAAAGGTGACTTATGACCATTTTTCACACTTACAACCACTGCAGCATCCCCACAAAATCAAAATTTGGACACTTGACAATTGGCATGTATTTATGATGGTTGCAGTGTCTTGGGATCATGTGATCATCTTCAGCGATTTTCTGACAAGCAAAGTCAACGAGGAAGCCAGAATCACTTAACATTTGTGTTACTAACTTAACTGCAGTGAATTGTGGCAAAAAGTTGCAATACTGACTTAACTGTCTTGCTCAGCAATGGAAATGTTGGGCTCAATTGTGGTCATAAGTCAAGGACTACCTATGTTTCATTGACCGACAGAATTTAGCAGTTGCAGCAAAATATAACCTTTATATATAAACTTTATATATAACTATATATATAAATCTTGTCCTATATTCACAATAGTATCACAGGGCAAGGTTGTTAGTCATTATACAATAAAGTCCTGAGGGTGAAAGTTTCTCATTTCTACTGACACATTAAATCAGTTTGAATTCACTTGAATTACCCAGAATGGCTTGCGGTAGAATGTAAGGACAGGCAATCTGCAATCATATGTGCATTTTAACCTTCTGTTTTCTGGAATGAGATAAAAACGTGGAGCATGATTTCTTTACCCATTTCTTTTTTCTCTCACTCTTTTGGGGTATTATTATTATTGTGGAATATAGGTAGACTGAGAAAAAAAATGCTTGTTCTAAGACACCTAGTGCATTAATAGCATTCATGTTTGCTATCTTCCCTCTAAAGAGGATTTTCAATGAGGGATTTGGTTCACTTTGGTAAATCTCCAGCCTCTTAGGAAAAAGCAGTGGCCTTTAGGTCTCAATAAATCAGAAAAAAGAAATTGGCACAAATCTTACTAGTTTCAAAGATCCAGTGCAAAGAAATATAGGTAGCAAAAAGTGGCAGATACAGTGGTATCTGTACTGACTTACAATGGTACTCAACTGCTTTGAAACTCATCAAATTTGGTACTCAAGGCATTTTGATGTGAAAATTTTGTCCCCGTACTCATCACGTACTCAACACACAAGCTAGAATTTGTCAACGCTGGATGCCTTGTGACTCACTGCATTATTCCTTATAGAAAAGATCTGGTACTCATCATTTGTGGTACTCATTGCGCTTCCTGGAACCAATTAACAATGAGTACCAAGGTACCACTGCATTTGCTTTTCAAACTCGATTATCATTATCAGCAGGCCAGTTTTTAATAAAGGTAGACGAGATTTTAATTTAAGGTTCAAAGCTTCTTCTTAGATGTTAGGCAAAGATAAATATGGTTTTTTGGTTAATAAAACTTCTGTTGACTACCTGAACATAGTCATGCAGTTTTCTTCACTGTAGTATGGAAGTAAGTTTGCTAACTCCTGCTCATGCTTTTTCCTGGGAGGTTTTTTGTTTTCTTAATCCGACCTACAGTCCTGGTAGCTTTCCAAGCACGTTCTTAAACATGACTGACTCTGCTTAGCCCCAATAAATTCAGCTAGGACTCACCACCTACCAATTAGATTTAAATCAATATATTCAAGTCGAATTGCAAAGAAGCAATTTTGAGAGTGATACAACTTTTTTCCTGACTTTCATTCCTAGTGTCAGGACCCCATGAATATTTTATAGTAAATGTTATTTATTGTATCATTAGTGAGTTGATTAGAGACAGAGGTATTCTTAAGAACACCAGTCTTTCCTCTCTAAAGTGTATCCTTGAATATCAGCAACATTGTAGATAATAGAGTCAGAGAGTCCTGTATGTTTCTGTACTTGTACTATACAGAATTTGTAAAAGGACAGAAATAAATCTTACTGCTTTTGCAAAGTTCAGCTTTTAGGCTAGGCCAAAAGAAAGTGCAACTCAGGATCTGCTAATGGAAGTGGCAAGAAAGTTTCAGAAATAAACTTGTGGAAGTATTAATATGTTTCTAGATTTTTCTACCTCATTTTTTTTTTTATCCTGGATTATTACTCCTCAATATTAAAAGCTCAGACTTTTAATATTCTGAAAAGACCCCAGAAAATATGACTTAGGATTTGTTTCTTACACTCAAAACAAAATTTACCTCAAGAATAAGAAGATGGACCGCCGATAATCAACCTTGTCAGCATTGCCATGGTGACCCACATATGGTTCGAGGGCATTGAGGAGATCAGGATGCAGCTTCTCTGCTTCATCAAAGATGAATAAGGATTGTTCACAGAGTTCAACTGTCTCAGTGATTTGTTTTGTTAGCTCGACCTGAGTGAACAGGGAAAATAGGCATGAAAAAATGATTAAAATGGCATAAATAAAATTGATGTAGCCAGAGATTTATTTATGGCTTTATATCCCCTCTTTTAGAATGGATGCTTATTACACAGCCTTAATGACCTTTAAAAGCAATCTGTAAAACATCAAGAAAAATGAAGTCAATATGAAATTATCAACAAAATCCAAAAGTTTTTTTCATTTAAAAATCTTTGTTTATATGCTATTAGTGAGGGAACCAGAAATATTTTCCAAGGGAGAGTGATCTAAAGGTCTGTGATTCCCACCAAAAAGGCTTTTATGATTGCCTGACAAAGCACATTTCTGGGAGCAGAACCCAAAGAAGTACAGTAAGAATGCAGCCTGGCTAAAGGAGGTGGGTATGAATTTTTATAAAAAAAGATTGAAATGAAAGAATTTGTAATAACAGCAGAAATAGTAGAGAAAAGGGTAAGGAAGATCAAGAATTGTTCAGGACCAGGTGAAGATGAATTGCATAGCTTTTGGTTGAAATATATGATTGGTCTGTGTTCACTCGTTGCCAAGCAGTTTAACAGTATACCACAAGGAAGTGAAATTGAAGAATGGCTAACTTCTGGCAAAACTTACCTGATAATAAAAGATCCAACAAAAGGGCAACACCTGGCAACTACAATCCAGTTATTGGCTTACAAACAACTTTCAAACTGTCAGTTAAGATTCTCAGTCATCCTGATAGAGTTGTCTGGAAGCAGAAGTCCAGTTATGGCAACTGGACTTCTTTTCTTTTTTTAGTTTGAAATGCTTAGCTCCTTGGATAAACATTGGCAGAGTATTTGAGGAAAGTGAAGATGCCATAAAGCAGAGTTCCTCAACTTTTCAGCTTTGCGGACCAGCAGGGGTGGGTGGCAGTGGGGATGGTTCCATGCAAGAAGCAGGCACATGCACAACTCTATTTGTGTGAGTGGTGGGCACACGCACCCATCACTTGTGCAAATGGAGCCTGTGTGCACACCATGTGCATGCGCTTGCCCACCACTTCCGCAGCCCGATTCTGAATGGCTCAAGGCAGGCCTCAGCCCAGGGGTTGGAGACCTCTGCCATAAAGTCATAGTCATTCACAATCATTCATAGCACGCTATAAAGGCTTACTAAATATCAGAGAAACTGAACTGACCCTCAAGAAGACTAACTGAAGAAAAGAAAAGAAACATGGCATGGCAAAGGATTACAAAACCAGTAAACAAAAAACTAGCAGACTAAGCAGATAACAGCAAGATCTGGCAATGGCTAAGAGCAGGGACAATATTATTAATATTATTAAACACTATCTTTCTATCCCAGATCCTTGGTTAGAACTCAAGAAATGGACAAAAATGCCAAATTCACTCTAAAGATCTGGCCAACTACGCAGCCAATCATAATTAATACAATTTTATGCCACCTAACTCTGGATGTTATTCATATTAATAGGGGCCCATGATTCAGCCTACTCACCCAGACTTTTAAACTTTGACCTGCCTTTGAGCATCCTTAAATCAATGATATTGTCCTTACTATTTGTATCTTGGGCCAAATAACTCATGTGCTTTGATCTAGTCTTCTCAAGCTACACTATTTTGTTTGGATCCCTAAGGACAGGCCATTGACATTATGTCCTTTGCTAGAGAGAGAAACCGCAGCAGGATTAACCCAAGCAGATCTTTGGATATAGGAAGATTCATATGAACATAGCCAACTTTCAAGTTAATTAGGCAATCTAGGGCTTTTTAAAACCAGTAGTGTATAATAACCCATGGAATGACAATCAAGGCAACTATGTGGTGTAACATGTACAAATTTCACTAATGTTGTGTTCCGTAAACATCCAAGAATTCTGAAGGTCCTTATTTTGTACATTTCCCAAGATAAAAGAATTGATCCATGGACCTTCTGCATGCCTGACTTCTAAATAACACCCCCTCCCTAAAACTGCACTATACTTAACACACACCCAGAGAGACACACAATATACAAATATCCTCTTACCTTGTAAAGGTCCATGTAATTGAGATGAGGGAAATGAAGTACTGAGATGAAAATTTTAACACAGTCACTTTTTAGGCCATCTCGATAAAGATGTTCTGCCATTAAACGAGCTACAAAGTTCTTGCCAGTACCAGACCAGCCATGAAAAGAAAGAGTTAGTGCTTTCTCTGGCTGTGGTGTTTCCAAGAAACCTTGAATGGCTTTCAGGACAATTTTTTTGGCCAAATGCTGGCCATGGAGTCGTTTGCTCAGAACCAGTTCCAAGCCTGTGGGGGGAAAAAAGAGGATGAATCTCTTGCATGGCATGTTGGAAACTGCAGAAGCCTTACATTGCTAGAAATCAGGATTCACAAGATCAAGTTAGAATTCTCTTGAGCTCGAACTGTCAAACATAAGGATTGCATAAAAGCACACTGAAACAACAAGTTATAGCCTTGGCTCCAAAATCCACTTGTCAAAACACCTCACTGTTCTTTCTTTCTTTATGTAAACTAGTAGTTCTTGTAGCTGTACAAGATATGCTTAATGTGGGTGTGAAATCTCTAATAGTCCTTCAGAAAAGATTTCTGATAACTGCATTTGATAGTACATATTCTCTATGTAAATTCTTATCTCTTATCTCTGATCCTTTGCTTCAGCCAGTAACTTGGAAAACATGACAAAACCTAAGAATTAATCGAGACTGAAAACAGTCAACAAAAAATATTTCTGAAAGTGATTAGAGAAGGAAATATGCACACCCAGTTTTTATTAAAGGTGAAAATTATGGTTTGAGCAAAATGGCTATTTCCTCATTTCCCAGAGGAAGATTGGAGGAGAAATTGGAGGAGCAACTGTACAGAGCACTTGTGGGCGATCTCAAGTTGTCTCCTTGTCTGGAGAGGAATTATGAAGAGCCAATCTATTTGCTTTTAGCAGAGTCACCTTCAGTTCACTATTTCTTTCCAATTAATTTGATCAAATATGTATTCAATCTCAGTGCTTCAATCATTAGTTTATAACTGAAAGAATTGGTCTCCATGTCAAATCAAAAAGGAACAGTGCAACTTTAGTGTGTGGGAACTATAAGGGAAAGATTTTGGTTTTATAGCTTTGTCATCCTCCAGAAAGATATAGTATTATACTAAAAGAGATGCAGTTAGGAAAAGAATATTGAATACTATAACTTATTTTTTAAAAATACACAAAATCCACACTGCTTAAAGCAAAGCTGATCAGCCTTTAAGCCAGTGTTTCTCAACCTTGGTAGCTTGAAGATGGGTGGACTTCAACTCCCAGAATCCCCCAGCCAGCTCTGCTGGCTGGGGGATTCTGGGAGTTGAAGTCCACCCATCTTCAAGCTTCCAAGGTTGAGAAACACTGCTTTAAGCCAAATAAAGCTGTGTAGCACTCCCAGATCACATTTCTAAATTTCAGAAGCATAAATGCTTACCTTCAGTAATGCAGTATTTTTAACATGGAGGAGGGGAGGAATTAAAATAAGAAGAAAGTAAAGTCTTTACCTGTGATATTGTTGACCACTCTGCAGTCTCCTGTTGGGCAGCACCTGCCAAAACCACAGTACCAGGTTGAGACTAATTCAGTCACCATGGGTAACTTCCAATCTAAAAGGTAAGAACACCAGATTGGGAAAAGAAATATTTGAATTGCTCCTAGGCAGTTGGCTTGAAAAAACTTCTACCTTGTTCCCCATTCTCAATCTGTTTTACAAATCTTGCTGTTAGCTCTTATATTTTCAATGCGCCTGATGAACAACTATTCACTTGCCCAAAGTAACCAATACTGCACGGCAACTCTTTCTCTTTTCATTTTTGCTGCAGCTTTGTCTACTATTCTTCTTCTACAATTCCACTTTTCAGGGCTTGCTATTATTTTTAACACTAAACTAAACCAGCCAGTCTGGGATAGCCAGTTGAAAGAACACAGGGATTTCAGTACTCAGATGCAAAATTACAAGAAACCGAAGCCTGTGTTTTCCCTATGATCCCTTTTTTGGCTCTTTCACCCATAATGAAGCAATTGTAGAAGTAGACCAGACATGAGCAAAGAACATCCGTTTGTTCTAGAAAAGTTTGTCAATCTTGGCACCTTTATGAGACAGGGACTTCAACTCCCAGAATTCCCTGGCCAGCATCTTCAAATCCATGCCTATTACAGTTGCCAAGTTGAGAAACACTGTTCTAAGAAGGAAGGAAATGGTTAAGTCTGGATGGATGGATAATATTTTGCTGAATAGATAATATCTAGATGGATAATATTTTGCTGAAAATAAAGAGGCCACACATGGAAAGTTCCCACTACTGTAATTCAGATGAGATTGGAATTGGATAAGTCTTTATCCCCTGATGTCCCATTCATTGTCATGCCTTTGTTTATGAGAGAATTAGCTCCCTATTAGGAGACTAAAAAATCCATTTCCCCTGAAACTCTTGAGGATTTTTTTCACCGCCCACGTTTATCTAGGGATTTTATCAAAATCCCTAGATAAACCGGCATAAAAATAGTTTATTAAACCTACGAATGGTGTTAGTAAAACCTTGTGGTAGTTCAGGGACCATTTTTACTTTAGCCTTTAATCAATTTATTTGGTCATTTCTTAGAGGAAGGGAGCGATATCCGACTGAATCCCCAAGCTTTAAAGTATTAATGTAAAACGGAATCATTTCTACGCCCGTTTGAGCTGTAATAGCACGTTCAGCATAGACTTAGAAATGGTGCTAAAAGTCTGCATTAAAGAGCAGCACTTCCGCGTCCTCTCTTCCTTGGAGACCACGGTAAGAATTCTGGGAGTTGGAGGCTGCAAGTGTGCAGCCGGCGGCCATTCGCCAATGAGAGAGGCAGCAAGCGCCAGGGGGAAAGCCCCGCGGAGACCCTACCGTGCTGTCCCAGGATGCCTCTGCTGCCTTCCTTCTCTTCCTCGCGCTGCGTCCTCCCTTCCTCCTCTTCCTCGCAGCCTTCCTGCCACACCTGGCAGGCCAGCAAGTGCCAGTACCGGCGGGAAACGTCCTGCACGGCCCCGAGCTGCTTCTGCAAATGCTCGTACTGCCGGTGGCTCAGGAAATCCGCACTTTCAGCCTCTTCCCCGCGGTCCTTACTCGCTTGTGCCCCCATCAACTGCAACGCTAAGCAGACATATAGCAGCCCAGTCCGGCACCCCATGGCTGTCTGCGGAAGGAGGAAGCCCGAGCTACGGCACCGGACTGTCTATATCGCCGGGCAGCCGAAACCAAGCCCAGTTCTGCAATGGGTTGGGAACTGATCTCATTTCCCTTTCGATCGGCACTATTTCCTCCTTTGCCCAGAGGCTGAAGGTCCGATAAAAAAGCCTTTCGCAAGTCTTGTTTGGAGAGAAAGGTCCCCTGGCTTTTGGAATGCAGTTCGTGTATTTTGGCTTCTCTTCCTTCGGAATAATTGAGAAAGAATAAATAAGAGAGTTGGGCTGGGGCCTTCTTGTCCGTGCTCGTTTATTTCGTCTAGTCGGAAGGGCCTCGTTGACCTGCCCTATCCTGGCACGGGGGAAAAGGGCCATCGGGGGCAATTGCAATAGTTCTGTCTGGTGTTTTCCGTGAGTAGAAGATAGACTATGCTGGGATCGCCGGCTCTTATCACTTGCATGTTTTCTCGTTTTGGATGATCGCAACAAAATAACTGCCCCTGTGCATGTTCTCCGCTGAAGTGAAGGGGATGGGGAGGCTTAAGTAGGTCATTTGGTTACACTAGATTCCGTTCTGGTAGCACTGCGATGTGCGCCTAGCCAGGGATCCGGTTGCCCTTGTAGAAAGTCAGAAAACACCTTCCTAGAGAATGAAATATTTTGAGGAATATTAAAAAGGCAGGATAGAATATTTCCCCTAAGGGAGAAATGTGGAAAAATCTTAAGGGAGGCAGAAATCAGCCCTGCCCAAAGCAGAAATTGAGGAGGGCAGTTTTAGAAATGCAGATTTGGTAATCCATTCAGAAAGACTGGGTCAGACAGAAACTCCAGATAAGCGTCACAATTAGGCAATCCAAAGATTGACAAGATTAGCTCAGACAAACACCTAGGATTTGCATTTCCCCTTCTGCCTATACAGCCATTCATGACCCATACATGACCCCATAGGAATCAAGAAGGTATAAAAACCCACGCACTCTCAACTCCATTTTGTCAGCTGTCCTAGAACTGCACGCTGTGTGTGTTGATTCTGCTCATCAATAAATTGACCTTTCTTTCTTAAGCAGCCTCCATATTATTCCCTGCTTGGAATTGGACTTGGATTTTTCTTCCAACACCTTGCTTGTCTTCCTTCCTTCCTGACGGCTAGTACTCTTTATTCAGCACACACATTTACCATGGGATTGCATTGGAATTGTTTGGCTGTCATAGGGTGCTTGGCCCAATCTTAGGGGGCCAGCCCTTGTACTGACTGAAAAAACCCCACTGAGACCTGGGGGAGATGAGAGACTGAACTCTGGGACCTGGAAGATCTGAGGGAGGTTGGGAGAGAGATGGGGAGGCCGCCCTTATGCTGCTTTCCGTCCTCACTCCCCCTCTGGCCTGGTTTTTTTGGCCTCATTATGGCCCTTTAACATCAAAACTGATTCCATCCGCTTTGGGATATCTCCTTAGTATCCATCTTATCCATCTTATTCTCTCCTAATATCACCATATTCTGAGCTGTACCCAGCTTTATATTCCAGCATGTGTCTCTTTGCTGTAAAGAGAGTTGTTGCTTATGGACGCATGTACTAAGGGAGTCGGACCTCTGCTGCTGTTTTACTATCGGACATGATGGACCATCTATATCCATTGCCATTTCCAGTTCTGGCCAGCCACTGTGAGAGGGTGATTTTGGTTATTTTTCTCCGGCTGTGGCAAAACGGTATGAGACTCCTCCCATTGCTGTGAGAGGACAGTGGAGTCCAGTTAAGCTACACCTGAAGTTTCTGCACTTCTCTCCGGGACCTTTCTCTGATTTCGGATTACCATCATTGACCCTATGGCCATATGTTATGTTATCATCACCCCTGGCTATTGAATGTATTCAGCGGCCGAGCTCCTTGTGCTGTGAGACTCCTTCCTCTCATAGGCCTGGCCCGCCATACTATCGAAGGCCTACCTTGATGACGGGTTTTGGAACCTCGAGAGGTGGCATGCGGTGAAGAGGAGGTTGAGGGGTTTTTTATCTAAATTTTTAGCTCAATTTTTAAGGGGTTCCGGGGGGGGGAGGGTTGGATTGGAACTAGGGTTGTGGGTTTGGGGGATAACCCACTGAGGGTGGGGCCTGGTCCGGCTGGGGGTCGTGGCATGGGAGGTGCGGAGCTCGGGGTCAAGGAGGCGGTTAGAGTTTGTACTGATGAGGGCCATTCCATCAGTACTGTGGGTGGGAGGGGCAGATATGGTGGGAGCAGGGGGCCATATCTTGTTGTGGGAGTGCGCGCTTACTGTCTTCTAGTGGTGGCGCGCTCCGGCCCCCAATGCTCTTCTCATTCCCCAGGTTGCACAGATCCTCAGGGCCCGGGCTTCGGCTGATGTTATGCAACGCTAGGTCCGTGGTAAATAAAGCCCCCCTCATTTGTGATCTTGTTCAGGAGGGGGGAGTGGATCTGGCGGATATCACAGAGACCTGGTTGGGCCAGGAGGGGGGGTCTCCCTCGTTGAAACGTGCCCACCTGGTTTCCGCGCATTTCATCAGCCGAGGTCACAGGGTAGGAGCGGGGGGGTGGCGGTTGTTATAAAAGAAGGTCTTGGTCCGAGGGAAGCCACTGTTCCTCAAATTGCCGGATGTGAGTCCCTCCTTGTGAAGTGGGGTCATGGGGTATAGATGGGCTTGCTGATTACGTACCTGGCTCCCTGCCACGTGGCGGTGGCCCTGCCCGAACTGCTCAACATTACAGCCGGGGTGGCGGTTGACACCCCCAGGCTTATGGTCATGGGGGATTTTAACCTGCCATCCGTCGGTGAAACGTCTGAGACAGCTCGGGAGTTCATGGCTTCCATGACGGCTATGGACCTGACCCAGTTAGTTCATGGCCCTACTCACACGGGGGGAAACACTCTGGACTTGGTTTTTGTCTCTGGTCAGTGGCTGAGTAATCTCGATATAGGGGATATAGTGATTGAGCCCTTGTCATGGTCAGATCACTCCTTCGCTTTGACCTTCGAACCACTACACCCTGCCGCAGGGAGGCGGAACCAATGAGGTGGTTCTGCCCCAGGTGCCTAATGGATCCGGATAGGTTCCAGAGGGAGCTTGGGCCATTTCTTGAGGCTCTGGCTCACGACTCGACTGAAGACCTGGTGGCCACCTGGGATAGGGCGGCCGCTGGAGCTTTGGATCGGGCCGTGCCTTTGCGGCCTCTGACCCGGCGCCAATCCCACTTGGCTCCCTGGTTTACCAAGGAGCTGAGGGAGATGAAGCACTGGAAAAGATGCCTGGAGAGCAGTTGGAGAGCCAGCCTTTCCGAATCCGATCAAACACTGGTGAGGTCTCATATTAAGACCTACCTAGTGGTGATAAAAGCGGCAAAATTTAACCATTTTTCCGCTCTTATTGCATCATCAGATAACCGCCCGGCCGCCCTGTTTAGGGTGACCCACTCCCTGTTCCATCTGGGAGCGCGGGAGGACCCCTTGGAGGGTAGGGCCGAGGACTTTGTGCAGTATCCGTATGACAAAATCGCTCAAATTCGGGAAGACTTGGACACTGACTGGGTAGATTTGGGAGGGGTGATGGAGGCAGGTCTTGAGAATGTTATATGGGAGGAGTTTGACCCTGTGACTCCCGGAGACATGGACAGGATTCTGGGTAGACTTAGCACGGCCACATGTTTATTGGACCCGTGTCCCTCCTGGTTGGTGCTGGCTTCTCAGGAGGTTACACGAGGCTGGCTCCAGGGGATTATTAATGCTTCATTGAGTAAGGGTGACTTTCCCGCTGCCTTGAAAGAGGCGGTGGTGAGGCCTCTCCTTAAGAAGCCTTCCCTGGACCCGGCAGTGTTAGTAAATTATCGTCCAGTCTCCAACCTTTTCTTTGTGGCGAAGGTTGTTGAGAGTGTGGTGGCGCGACAGCTTCCCAGGTACCTGGATGAAATGGTTTATCTAGATCCATTCCAGTCGGGCTTCAGACCTGGGTACAGCACGGAAACGGCATTGGTCGCATTGGTTGATGATCTCTGGAGGGCTCGGGACAGCGGTTATTGCTCTGTCCTGGTCCTATTAGACCTCTCAGCGGCTTTTGGTACCATCGACCATGGTATCATGCTGCGCTGGTTGGAAGAGTTGGGGGTGGGGGGCACTGTGTTGCGGTGGTTCTCCTCCTTTCTCTCTGACCAGTCGCAGTCTGTGTTGGCAGGGGGGCAGAGGTTGACCCCGAGGTGCCTTGTGTACGGGGTGCCACAATGGTCGATCCCCTCGCCCCTTCTGTTCAACATTTATGTGAAGCCACTGGGTGGGATCATCCGTGGTTTCGGGGTGAAGTACCACCAGTATGCTGACGACACTCAGCTGTACATCTCCACCCCAGGCCACCCCAATGATGCCCTTGAAGTGATGTCCCGGTGCCTGGAGGCCGTGTGGATCTGGATGGGGAGAAACAGACTCAGGCTCAACCCGTCCAAGACCGAGTGGCTGTGGTTTCCGCGTCCCGATATAGCCAGTTGGTGCCATCACTGACTATTGGGGGCAAGTCGTAGGCCCCCACGGAGAGGGCTCGCAACTTGGGTGCCCTCCTGGATACACGGCTGTCTTCAGAAGAACATCTGATGGCTGTGGCCAGATGGATTTTCTATCAGGTTCGCCTGATTCGCCAGTTGCGTCCCTTTCTGGATTGGGACTCCTTATGCACGGTCACTCATGCCCTCGTCACTTCCCGCCTGGATTACTGTAATGCTCTCTACATGGGGCTCCTCTTGAGGAGCATCCAGAGGCTCCAACTGGTCCAGAATGCGGCCGTGCGGGTGGTTATGGGAGCGACATGGCACTCCCATGTAACACCTCTCCTGCCCAAGCTGCACTGGCTCCTGGTGGTCTTCCAGGTGCGCTTTAAGATATTGGTTATCACCTTTAGAGCGCTCCATGGCTTAGGACCTGGGTACCTACAAGACCGCCTTCTGCCACCGGTAGCCTCTCACCGGCCAGTACGCTCCCACAGAGAGGGGCTCCTCAGGGTGCCATCGGTCAGTGTTGACTGGCGGCTCCCAGGGGGAGAACCTTCTCTGTGGGGGCACCTGCCCTTTGGAGCGAGCTCCCCCCGGAGATACGGAGGACCCCAGATTTATGCATTTTCCGCCGTGCCCTCAAGACTTTTTTATTCCAACAAGGTGGGCTGGCCTAATACTTTTTAATTGCTTAATTTTAATTTTAATTTGCTTTTTAAAAAAGGGGTGTTTTAATTAGTATGGGCCAAATTTGTTTAATATGTTTTAAATTGTTTTTACATTTTATATTGTATGTGTTTTATCTTTGGCCGTTCACCGCCCTGAGTCCTTCGGGAGAAGGGCGGTATATAAATCCAAATAAACCTAAACCTAAACCTAAACCTACTGTTGTTTGGTTTGGTTTTAAATTTGATTGTGGGGGGGATG